ATTAGGCTAATGGTGTGTAATTCACTGGTAGTATGTCATGTACAAAGCCCTAGGCCAGATCCCTAGAACCAGCGCCATGGTCTATCATCCCACCTTCCCTCAAAAAGGAAATTATAGCTATGCTGTTATCCTGTATGTTTATACTTCAGCTGGCAAACTGTAAAGTTTTTTTTTGTTGTGGAAATAACTGCTTTATGATGTACGAGATACTCCCAGCACCAGTACATGAAAATCTGTGCTAACAGTACTACTTCCAATGCCTGTTTTGCTGAAAAATTTGTTTGCCAAACAAACCAGTTATGGGCTGATGATTGCTTTAGTAGAGGGATATAAAGTAACAGTTGCCTTTCTATAACTTTAGTGTACTTGAAATCACCTATAAAATTCAACTCATATTAGGTAATGAATTAACCTTACAATTAACGTATACCTCTGTACAGAAGAAGTTCTTCTCTTATAAAATCATTTTTTAGTATTTTGACTGTGGGTAGTTTTGTTTGAGGCAGAGTGCAGTAGCAAACAGAAATCACCAGGTTTGATTTAATAGTCATTTGAAGTGTTTGATCTCAAGCATAAACAAAAACAAGCTAAATTCTAGATAACACCAATTACAATGACTTACAAAGTAAATATTATCTTACCTGTATACCAAGATCCTCCCACAACACAAATTCAAATGTGCCTTTTCTTTTTGAAAGAAAGACCTGTGTATGTGATGTGTGTGTTCCTATGAATGCAGGTGAACATGTGCCACTGCACATTGGAGCTAAGAGGACAATCTCCAATGTCAGTCCATGTCTTCCCTTGTCTGAGACAGGGTCTTATTTGCTGCTGCATATGCTAGGTCCACGTGCTTCCAGGGATTCTCCTATCTCTGCTTGCACAGGAGTTCTACAGATAGAAATCTAAGTCCTCATGCTTATAAGACAATCTTTATGCCTCAGCCATCTCCCTGGCTCAAATTTGCCCTTCTTTTCTTTTTTTAATCACACAGTATGAGTGTGGAGGTCAAAGGACAATTTACTGGAGTCAATTCTCTCCTAACCACCATGTGGATCTCAGGGATCAAGCTCAGATCCTCTAAGGCTTGGCAGCACATAACTTTACCCAACTGAGCTATATTGTCTACCCTAAATTTTGCCTTTTCTATAAACCATTTTTGAGAGGTTGGGGATTTAGCTCAGTGGTAGAGCGCGAGGTCCTGGGTTCGGTCCTCAGCTCTGGGGAAAAAAAAAGACAAAATAAACCATTTTTGTTAGGATGCCTTAAAATGGCTCATGCCGCTTGATGTTACAACAGTTTAACTTTCATGTTTAAAAGCAGTCAGGACTGGGGATGGGGTGGGGCAGTACGACCTCCATCAACAAAGGCTGATATAGCACAGACGCTTAATGTAAGCACTAGGAAGACAGAAGCAGGCAGATCTCTAGGGAGTTTGATGCAACTATATCTATACAACAAATTCCAGGCTAATCATGGCTACAGAGTAAAACACAACGGAACAAAAAACCTCAACCAACCACATAAGAATAAAATCACACACACACACACACACACACACACACACACACACACACACACACACAGCACTCCAGTTAAAGGCAGCAGTCAAGCACTGTTAACAGTCTACTTAGGTTTGTCTACTAGTCAAATCAGTCTCACCTTCATTTTTCTCAACTTCAAAGTAAAGAAAAAAAAACCGCATCTGATTAGCAAAGCATGATGTCACACACATGCAATCGTGGCTACCTGAAAGGAGGCAAAGCAGGAGGTTCACAAGGCCTGCCATGACAACTTAGTAAGACCTGGTCTTAAATAACAACACTAGGGCTGGAGAGATGGCTCAGCAGTTAAGAGCACTGACACTGCTCTTCCAGAGATCCTGAGTTCAATTTCCAGCAACAGGGTGCCTCACAATCATATGTAATGGGATCCAATGGCCCCTCTCTCCCCCTCCCCCTTCCCCCCTCCCTCCCTCCCTCTCAGAGAGAAAGTGAGTGCACAGGAGGTGGACAGTGGTAGTACACATCTTTGATCCCAGCACCTGGGAAGCAGAGATAGATCTCTGAGTTTAATGCCAGCAGTTTACAAAGTTCCAGAACAGTCAGGGCTAGCTCAACAAATAATAAATAAATAAATAAATGGGCTGGAGATTTGGCTCAGTGGTTAAGACTGCTTGTTCTTTCAGAGAATCTGAGTTCAATTCTAAGAACCCATGCTAACAATTGTTTGTAACTCCAGTCCCAGGGATCCAAGGCCCAACTCAGACCTCTGAGGAAGCCAGACACACATGTGATGCACATACACACAGGCAAAATATTCATGCACATTAATAATAGAATTATAAAATAAATTATAGGCTGGTGGTATATAGTTTAGTGACAGTACGTTTTGTAGCATGCACTAGACTGGATTTAATCCCCCACACTGAAAATAAAAAGTAGCCAGACACAGTGGAGAATGCCTTTAATTTCAGCATAGGAAAGGGAGAAGCCCGTGGATTGATCAGATGTTTACATTATAATTCCTAATAGCAGAAAATTTACAGTTATGAAGTAGAAACAAAGTAATTTTATGGTGGGAATTACTCACAACATGAGAGACTATGTTAAAAGGGTCTCAATATTAGAAGGCTGAGAACCACTGTTCTACATAGAAAGACTCTGTCTCAAAAAGTGTGTGTCTCTATGCATATGTATATAGATACACACACAGATACACAAAAATAAACTCATAGATTTCTTATCATGTATAAATTATTGAAATGGTTGAAACAAAAAAAGCCAGACACGGTGTACTCCTTTAATTAATTCTAGCATTCGTAGGCAGGTAGATTCCAGTTCAAGGCCAGCCTGGTCTATAGGGTGAGTTCCAGGCCAGCCAGGGCTATACAGAAAAAACACCCTTCTCGAAAAAACAAACAAAAAGAATTGTTAATTCAAAATAAAGGCTTCCCATTCTGTCTCCCAATTTCAAGAATTCTGAAAGCACACTATCCACAATCAACCAAAAGAATAGTCAGATCAACAAATAAATGCAAGCCATTTTAGAACACTCAGAAAAAAGGTAAAAGGTGAATTTAGTACTGTAAAATGTCAAAACAGAAAGCAATTCTAATTTTCAGAAAGAACTTTAAATGATTTTCTCTCAACAAAATAATTAAGTAAATAAACATTTCCTGGGGTTGAAAAGAAGGTTCGGCGGTTGAGAGCACTTGTTGCTCTTCAAGAACACCCAGGTTCTACTCCCAGCACCCATAAGGCAGCTCACAACTGACTCTAACTCCAGTTCCAGGGGATCCAATGTCGTCTTCTGACCTCAATGGGCCCTGCATTTACATTTACACAGGAATACATGCAGGCACAATAACCATACACATAAAAAAATTCCTAGAACAAAAACTCCTGTCTAAACGAATGTATAACAAGTAATTGAAACTTCTATGAAAGAATTTTCAAAGATCCACAATTTGCATTCTATTTTATCTTTTGAATAGACAGAAATTTCAACTCAATTATACCTTTCCAAAAATTAAAATTTGCTACTGTTTCTGTTTCACTTCTGGGAGGGTCTTTTTGTTTTGCTTTGTAGGCAAAGACTGTCTTTAGTTAAAAAGAAGGGGGGGAAGAGACACAGTCACCTAGAATTTCACTTCTGAATATATTTTCACTTGCAAAATTGTTTTTTATTTTGTAACTGCCCAAACTTCATGGATTCTGAGGTGAAAACTATCGTAAAAAACCTGAGACCTCTAGCCCAACAGTAATAATACAAACCCTTTAATCTCAGGACTCAGGATCTTGAGTTCGAGCCCAGCAAGGACTACACAGTGAGTTCCAGAATAAACAGGACTACACTGAGAAACCCATTTTGAAAGAAAACAAACAAAAAACATGCGACCACCAACAAACTACAATTTTCGGTACAATTTTCAGTAGAGGTCTAATACTTTAGTTTTTAATGAGATTTACAGAAGAAAGTGGATTATTACTAAACAAAAACCATGAACCACCACTAACTTCAGGTTTTCCAGATAACTAAGAGTTACCCAAGGTAAACTATTCAACACATTATACACGCCAACTTCAGAGTACAAAAGTGGCAGACAAAACTGATACCACAGCACAAATTTCAGAGCTATTCACAACTACCAAAAAACAAAAAACAAAAAACAAAAACAAAAACCGCACCCATTCTTATGTAAACTTTTGCAGTAAACTTCCTGAGCCTCACCTTCGCTTTCACCTACCCTCTCCAAAGACGCCAATAGACAAAAATCCCGAAGTTACAACGTCCCATAGGTAAAAACAACTAAAACGTTATTATATTTAAGCATTTAAACAGGGTACTTCCCCAGGCCACATCCATTTTAGATTCAGTATCTTTTTTAATTTTATGGGTTGGGGAGATTTAGCATGGAATGGTTAAGCCATTTCAACCAATCAATTATCCTCCCCAATGGGACGGAGTTTCGTAGATAACTGGTAAGACAATCAATCTGAAGGAAAAGGTTTCTCTACCCCGGAGAACCGCGACTCCGGGCGTGGAAGTTCCCTTTCCCCTAGATATTCCACATTTGACTTACACGACTTTTTCCTCGTTAAGTTTCTCTTAACTGGAAAACAGAAGCCTTCGGCTCTTATCTTAAAGAAAGGTAAAATAAAAGAATAAAAACACCGAGTAAACCAAATCACTCAACCACTATCGAGCCGGAACTCTTGGAAAGGAGCCGGAGCCGCAGGTGAGCGTTTCCGACCGGGAACTGAAGTTGAAGTCTGAGAGCTCTGGAACCGCCGCGGCGACGCTAGTGTGCAAGGCTCCTCCCGTTGGGGGGGGGGGGGGGGACGTTCCAACTAGACGACTCCCAGTTCCTCTCGTCCACCCCGGCAGACCCACACCCAACCACCTGTGCAAGACCTTCTTCCAACTAGTTTTCATAGACGGCCAGTTAGGCAGCCGGCGGAGCCCGTGCCGGGACGACTCGAGGTCTCCTTCTGCTCGGTGTCCAGAACCCGCACTCACCCGGCAGCGGCGGGGCTACGGTCAAGGACGACACGCGGCGTCTGAGGACTCGTCCCCAGCTTCTCCGACCAGCAGAGGTGACTAGCCCACAACCATAACAAAGCTCTTCCCAAGATGGCTGCCCGGCCCACAAGGCTCAGGAGGGGGGCAGAGCGGGTGGAGGAGGAGCGACGACCAGCTGGGCCCTCCCTCTGCCGCTTCGGCCCGCCTCCTTCACGCCCCTAGCAAAGGCGCATGCGCATGAGTGAGGGCCTGCTTCCGTGACCCCGCCCGGACGCCGGCGGCTCGCTCCGTAAACGTTGGGCTGCTCCCTCAGCGGTTATTTCCCGCCCCGCCCCCGGCGCCCTTCAGCGCGACTCTGTGCGGGTCGACTCTCCCTTCCACAAAGCCTTTCGGCTTTCCTTGTGCCGCTCTAGAGGCAAGAACCAGCCGAATTCAGCACGCCCCCTTATAACTCCCTGTCGGGTCCTCCGGCTTGGGAGCACGTGAATTTGGGTGGATATATTTGTTCCAGTTATTCCCCCACCCATTTTTTTTTCTTCACCTTCTCACACGTCGATTGTGAGCCAGATGCTTCACCAACTACTAGAATTAGCTAACAAGTAACGGAAGAGCATGTTTTCGGGCTCTGTACACCTTTGCTCCTCCTTTCACATGCGCACGCCGTTGAAACTCCAGCCCTGGGCAACACACACGCACACACACACACACACACTCACACACACACACACACACACACACACACACACACACACTCCCGCCCCCGGACTAAAGGCATGCGCGGCGGTGTTGGCGCACTACTAGCCGGGAGTTGTAGTTCATGGACCTTGCAGGCTTCACGGAGCCGCCAGAACGGAGGGTTGATTTCTGGTCCACCCCTGTCTTTGCTAATAACCCAAGCAGTCTATTAGCATTCCCTTGGATATTGCATGAAAGGAAGGGACCGTACAACCTTGCCAGAGAAGGGAATAAAACTGGCAGACGGCTGCGTCTCAGTAGAAACGAATGTTTCAGAAAGTTAGTTTTACTACTTAGAATGGAGGAACTTGCCAAAAAGGGTCCTCACGTAAATGAACTCTCCTTTTTGTCTTCAGCTTTTTACACAAGGATCCAAGAACGCTCGAAGTACTTAGTGTCTGTTCCTTTGGCCGGCAGATGGCAGGTTGGGGGGTGGGAGAAGAGACTTGGATAAATTCAAGAATGATGTGACTTCCTGGATGACCTCTAAACCCATAGCCCGGAACGCCACACCTTGATTCATAGAATTTTGAATGTTGGGTCTTAGTCCTCTGTATTCCTCAATGTAATTTATAGGTAATAGTAAGAGAATAAAAAACAAAATCATTCCTTCTTTCTCCCCTAGTAGTAGTAATAAAGGACTCAAATGCGGAGGAAGATGTGTCCAATCGGCTCAACCCCGTTGATTTGCAAAGTTAAGCGTTCCAGGCGATATTATCTTTAAAAAAATAATTCCGTAGACCAATTCGGCCAACTCTAAGTTTCATCCTAGGTTCTTCCACTACTGTTACTGGAGTCGTTTCAGAAATTGTACTCTATCTTCTTGAATTGTTATCTATTAAACTGATTAGAAATCCTGGAATAGAGACTTGTAAGTTATCTGAAACCCGACTTCAGTTAGAATTAATATTTTAGATTAGCCCTCGAGGCTTCAGAGGCAGCTCCGTGGTTAAAGGCGCTTGCTGATCTTACAGAAAACTTCAGGTCGGCTCCCAACACCTATACCGTGGGGGATCCAGGCTTCTGGACCCAGTGAGCACATGGAACTAAAGTGCATGAACACACACATTAAAAATAATGTAAAATAACTAAGGGAGGGAAGCAATCAAATAGGGAAAGAGAGTCGGAACTTGCTACCTTAAGCTCCCATCCGGACTCATTTTCTTGCCCTCAGGAAGTGGGGGCTGTTTGATTCCAGTTGCCGGAAGTGCTGCTTCTGTGTTTCTGGTGCGCCGTGAGATCGTGGCAAGTATGTTACAGGATTGTCAAGGGTACACTTTGGGAAGGTGGTGGGGTCACTGAGGATTGGAATATAGGAGATATATAGTTATCCCAGGCGTCTTAAGGACCTTTTGTATCTAAATTCCGCTCCTACCTATCGCTAAAATGTCAGCTTGAAGCTCCCAATTTGTGATGGTGAAATGAAAACATTTAGTCATTTCTTACGTGGATTGGGAGAATTGACCACGGCATTTTAGTTTTAATCTCCACATCACCCTCTGTCTCTGGGCTTCAGCCTGTCACATTGTAATCTTCCAAAATTAGAAAACATGTGCTATACTGGTTACTGAGAATTAATATATGGAAAACATATAATTATACTGCCTGGTTCACAACAAAGCCGTATTTGTGGCTGCTCTCATTTTTTAGTGTAAAAATTCCAAAGCTCGGAAGTACTAAAGAGGATAGATAATTAGTGGGAACAAAAGGCATAACTGTCAGTTTTAAAGATGAGAAAACTGGTACATCACAAAGTGGTAGAAATCTTTGCTAAGTCCAGATGTTCAGTTTTACATTGCTCTTTTTGTTAAACCAAATAGCTAAAACTAAAATTATTTTTCAGAAAACAAAAATAAAACAAAACTTATTTCCTTAATGTATTACTCTTTGACAAATAAATACATAAATCAAAATAAATCATATTTCATTGAAGAGATTTTCATGACTTCTTATTAATGTATAAAATGTAGGTAAGTGATATCTTGTTTTATGTATAGGACATTGCTTCAAATTCAGCCATTCCCCTCAACCGTAAAAATATATGAATCAGAACTGCATCTTACCTGGACAAAACTCTTGAGTAGACACCAGAATGCTTTACTTCATCCAGAAAATTTCTGGAGCATCTTCAAAGGTTAGTTGAATACTATTTGTCAATAACTGTCTGGCTATGGCAGATATAAATACATATGTATTCAAGTGAAGAAGGAAAACAATGGGCAAATTATAAATAAGTAAAATGTTTACTATGTCAAATAGTAACTGCTATGGAGTACTCTATATCAGGGAATGAGAAAATAGGGAATATCAAGAATAGAGAGAACCAGGAGAGACAGCTCAGCTTTGTTGAAAGCACATATTGGGGGCTTAGTTTGATCCCAGCACCTGTATTGGGTAGCTCAACTGTGGTGGGTTACTCCAGCTTTAGAGGACTTGAAACTTCCTCTGAAGGTACCCACACACATGGAAATAAGAATAAATCCTACCAGAAAATAATAGACAGGATTATATAACATAAGTAGGTTAGAAAAGAAGACTGCCCATCTAGGTACCTGAAAGAAAGGCATTCTAACTGAAGACAGAGGAGTAAAAGCCAGTATCAAATCATTCTCTGCATGTTGCTGGGGGCTTCCCAAGACTGGTAAATAGCTGTTCCTTTTTCTTTTAATTCAAAATCATATTTTTAGAGGGTTTTTTTTTTAATGTGTATGGGTGTTTTGCCTACACGTATGTCAGTGTTCCACCTGCATATAGTGTGTGTGTAGGTTAGAAGAAGGTGTAAGATCTCCTTGGGACTGGAATTACAATTGGTTGTAAGCCACCACATGTGGCAGGAATCAAACCTGGGTCCACTGGGAAAACAGCCAGTGCTCCTAATCACTGAGCCAACCCCCAAGTTATTACTTGATATATGTGGTGTTTTGCCTGCATGTATTTCTGTGTACCATGTGTCCTTATTTTTAAACTTTTCTGTTTCCTTTCTAGATGCTGAAGAACCCTTTTACAGTGAGACTCAGAGCCAGCAGAATAGATATACTTTCTCCTAAGACATGTCTTCTGCAGAACTTTTCCTCTTTGTCTCCAAGAACTTGGCTTTCCACGTCATTTCAAGTGTGTATGAGGAAGATACAATGCTATCATGTGTCACCATGCAACTTTAAAAAGCAACAGAAAGAGGCAGTCCTTCCCCCCAAGAAACCAAGCACCATCACTTATCTACGTGATAGCCCAAAGCCGGCCTTATATATAACTCTGGTGGGGTTGATTCCCTTTACTGCTCCACCACTCCTCATGGTAATAACGAAGTCTTATATCCCCATACTAGCTTTTACTCAGATGGCTTATGGAGCCAGTTTCCTAGCTTTCTTGGGAGGAGTCAGGTGGGGCTTTGCTCTGCCAGAAAGTAGTCCAGCCAAACCAGACTACATTAATTTAGCTAGCAGTATGAGTCCTGTTGTGTTTTCATGGATAGCCATCCTATTTTCTGAAAGACTCAATGAAGCCATAGTCACGTTAATAATAGGTTTAGGGATAGCATTACACAATGAACTTTTCCTCTTGCCACATTATCCCAACTGGTTCAAAGCCTTAAGGATCATAAGTACAGTAGTGGCTTTTATCTCATTTGTAGTCATTTTAATTCTTGAAAATATTTATCCAGAAAAAGGGCCTAAGAGACTTGGTCAAGTAGAAATGTAAAACTACTTTCTTTCTTTCTTTCTTTCTTTCTTTTTTTTTTTGGTTTTTTGAGACAGGGTTTCTCTGTGTAGTCCTGTCCTGGAACTCACTCTGTAGACCAGGCTGTCCTCGAACTCAGAAATCCGCCTGCCTCTGCCTCCCAAGTGCTGGGAGTAAAGGCGTGTGCCACCACCGCCCAGCTATAAAACTACTTTCTTGATATTATTTGCAGTGTCTGTGGAGGCCAGAAGATGGTGTTGAATCCCCTGGAGCTAGCGTTAGGGCAGTTCTGAGCCACTCAGTATCTAGGCTGGGAAATAAACTTGGGTTCCTAGCAGTACATAGTCTTGAGCATTGAGCCTCTATCTCTACCCTGTAGAGCTGCATTTTAGCATCACAATTCTGTTCCTCTTGTTTGGCTCTTTTTTTTTTTCCCCTCCCACTGATAGGAATTTATTCTTCATACTTAGTTTGCTTTTTTTTTTTCCTAAAGAGTATTTCTTTTAGCCAGATGGTAGTAGTATATACCTTTTATCCCAGCAGAAAGGAGGCAAAAGCAGGTGGATCTCTTGAGTTTGAGGCCAGCCTGGTCTATAAAGTGAGATCCAGGACTGTCTCAAAAAAATAAAACCAAAAAAAGTTACAGATATCCATCTGCCTTTGCCTCCTGAGTGTTGGGATTATAAAAATTATTTCTAAGTAATTTATCTTGAAAAATTTCCTAATTCCTTATGTCATATAAGGTTAGTTTACATTTTTTGTATGTGAATTGTATAGTCATGAACTGAAACATTTCAGTGTTTTGAAATATACTGAGAACAGTAAAAGACAAGATGAAAAATCCTTTATTAGAGTCTAGCAATCATGAAGTCATATTTCATGAAAAGAACCCTACTTGTAGTGGTTTGAAGAAGTATGGCCCCAGATTCATGTGTTTGAATATGCTTGGCTCAGAGAGTGGCACTATTAGGTGGGTGGCCTTGTTGGAGGAAGTATGTCACTGTGGGGGTGGGCTTTGAGACCCTCCTACTAGCTGCCTGGAAGCCAGTCTTCTCCTGGTTGCCTTTGGAACAAGATGTAGAACTCTCAGCTGTGCCAGTGCTGCCCATGTTCTCACCTTGATGATAATGAACCTCTGAACCTGTAAGCGCCCCAATTAAATGTTGTCCTTATAAGAGTTGCCTTGGTCATGGTGTCTGTTCACAGTGATGGAAACCCTAACTGAGGCACTACTAAGAAGTTTGTGACACCTTAAAAATAAAAGGATTTCTGTCGAGTTTTTATAGCACTTCTGGATTGCATGTCTAAGCCTTTTGTTTGTTTGTTTTGTTTTGTTTGTTTTCTTGAGACAGGGTCTTACTATGTAGCTCTGGCTGTCCTGAAACTCACTATGTAGGCCATGCTAGCTAGCCTGGACCATATAGAGATCTGCCTATCTTTGCCTCCCAAGCGCTAGAATTAAAGGCATGAGCCACTACACCTGGCTTGTCTAAGCTTATTTTACCTGACATGAGTTTATGAACTGAAATGATCTGTGGCTCTAAAGGTGGTAGGCAGTAGTGGAATGAGGAAAGTCACTCACAGAAAAGCTGGCCACGTGTCTTAGCTTTTGTTTGTTTTTGGACCACATTTAATGTACAGAAGCTTTTATAATAATAGCTAAAGGGCTAGAGACATGGCTTAGTGTTTAAGAGCACCCCCTTCTCTGCTAGAGAGCCCATGTTCAGTTGTCAGTATCTGTACTGCACTAACAACTATATAGTTTTTGAGGTTTGGGTATGGCCTCCTTGAGCATAAGGCAAATATGTGGTACACATATGTATATGCAGACAAAATACTCATATACACTACAATAAAAAGTTTTAAATATTAGATCAGGCCGGGCAGTGGTGGCGCATGCCTTTAATTCCAGCACTTGGGAGGCAGAGGCAGGCGGATTTCTGAGTTCGAGGCCAGCCTGGTCTACAGAGTGAGTTCCCAGGACAGCCAGGGCTATACAGAGAAACCCTGTCTTGAAAAAACCAAAAAAAAAAAAAAAAAAAAAAAAAAAAAAAAAAACAAAAAAACAAAAATTAGATCAGCCTGATGTATTTACCAAGTTCCAGGACAGCCAGTACTACATATAGAGCCTCTGTCTCAAATAATGAAACATAGGCAAAAGCATGGCTTTGGTTTGGTTTTCCACCTCTCATAGTTGTAGGGATTGAACCTAGTGCCTCATACAGTATAAAAGCACTGCTTCTGAGCAATACACCTACAGGCTAACAATTTGGATTTTAACTTGAAAGCCTAGTCTAAGGTCTTGGGAATGTAGCTTGGCGGATAAAATACTCGCTTATCATGCAAAGCCCTCAGTTTGCTCCCCAGTACCCCACAGATTGGGAGTGATAACACGAGTCTTCAATCCTAGCTCTTAGGAGGTCAAGACAGGAGGATCAAAGATTATGTTGTATAAGTCCAAAGAAATTATTTTTGAATGTTGTATCTTTGACATACGCAGTCAACCAACACTTTCCAAGTTTTATGAGTAAATTATACACACATTTTCTCTTCTAGTAATTCCTATTATGAAAGTAAATATCAACACAATGACTGTGCTTTTCCGATGTTTTTAATGTTACACTAGAGTAAGAGTATTTACATTCCAGATGATGATTGAGAAAATAATAAAATGTGGCAGGTATCACAGTAATAGAACTTTGCTGTTTTCTAGGATTTTTATTTATTTTTTAATAGAACATATAGGATGTCTCCATCATATTTTGTTCAGGTGACTGTAAAATCAAGAAAAGTCACTGTTGCTACTAATACTATTATTGGACACATATAGATATAGATGTGTATACATACATACATACACATTTGAATTTTTTTTAAAGATTTATTTATTTTATGTATATGAGTACACTGTAGCTGTCTTCAGACACGCCAGAAGAGGGCATCAGATCCTGTTGCAGATGTTTGTGAGCTACCATGTGGTTGCTGGGAATTGAACTCAGGACTTCTAGAAGAGCAACCAGTGCTCTTAACCTCTGAGCCACCTCTCCAGCCCCACATTTGAATTTTTGAAGACTCAAGTTCTATATCAACTTTGAGGAAGTTTGCCAGTTTTATATGATAAGTTTATATGGCATAGTATATAAATTAATAATCATACATATTTCTCCCCATCTGTTCAACGTTAACATACTGAATATCTAGTCTATGTGGGTTTGATTACAAACACTAAAATAGTCTTAGAACAAAGAAAGAAATGTATCAAAATGGCAACTTGTTTACTTTTTTACACAGTTCCTAGCTTTTAACTACTCTTTAAGCTTTTAAACTACTAATGCCTAGTAAGACATCATGTGACTTTCAGAAATGGAACCTTTACATAGTTATATTGTTATGTAATTTGTTATATTGTGATTGTGATGGGCTTTTATGTGATATAAGTAATATTTTTGTAAAAGGGAATGTTTGGGACCATGAAGAATAAATATCATATGAATATGATAATGGCCACCTACCAAACCAGACCAGATGGATGGAGCAGATAGCCCTAAAAGGAAGTAACTTCCTTTTGATTTCACTGATTTCACATTTCTAGCCTCCAGAAGTATGAAGACAATGTACTACTTAGTTTCCCCCGTTCTCGTGTGTGTGGTGTGCGCATAGGTGTATTTTGCACATGTGGAAGCCCAAGGTAAACAGCAGAAACCACTCTCTGTCACTGTCACTCTTCCATTTTAATCATTGATGTGGGGTCTCAGTCAAACCCAGAAGTCGCTCTTACGGATTGGCTGGATAGCAGCTTGCTCTAAAGATGTCTAACCAGCACTGTAGTGAATTTATGAGATCTGAACTCTGGTCCTCACATTTAAGCATCTAGCCACCTTCTCAGCTTTTTGCTTGAACTTCTGTAACATACTGTTAACAGAAGCCATAGCCAACTAGTGCATCATCACACAGACCTCGCTTGGATTTCTAAAGGGCTTATCAGGTAATGTAACAGTCTGAAATGACTGGGTTTTTTTGTTTGTTTGTTTTTGGTTTTTCTCTTATTTAAATATATGGAAGGAAAACTTGACTTTTTTAAAGGTTCTTCAGATTCTATTCAACTATTTTTTTTTTGTTTTGTTTTTTTGTTTTTTTGAGACAGGGTTTCTCTGTGTAGTTCTGGCTGTCCTGGAACTCACTCTGTAGACCAGGCTGGCCTCTGAACTCAGAAATCCGCCTGCCTCTGCCTCCCAAGTGCTGGGATTGAAGGCAGGCATGCGCCACCTCCGCCCGACCTATTCAACTATTTTCATGAGAAAGTGTTTTCCTGTTTCTGGGTTACTTATATTCAATTATTTCAAATTTTGTCACAGTCTCCAACGAAGATTTTGTCCTAGTCTTCCAGAGAAGATAGTCATATTTTCAAAATACTTACAAAATACTAATTTTCAGGTGAATTAAAATACATACTTTAAGCTGGGCGGTGGTGGTGCACACCTGCCTTTAATCCCAGCACTTGGGAGGCAGAGACAGGCAGATTTCTGAGTTCAAGGCCAGCCTGGTCTACAGAGTGAGTTCCAGGACAGCCCAGGCTATACAGAGAAACCCTGTCTCAAAAAAAAAAAAAAAAAAAAAGACTTGTTAAAATATATACTTTAAGAGCACTGACTGCTTTCCCAGAGGTCCTGAGTTCAATTCCCAGCAACCACATGGTGCCTCACAACCATCTGCAATGGGATCTGATGCCCTCTTCTGGTGTGTCTGAAGACAGTCTATTCACATACATAAAATAAATAAATCTTTAAAAAAAATAAAAAATAAAATATATACTTTAAATCTGTTATATTGGGGCTAGAGAGATGGTTCAGCGGTTAAGAGCACTGGCTGCTCTTTCAGTGATCTTAACCGCTGAGCCATCTCTCCAGCCCCTTGGTTTTTGTTTTTGTTTTATTCGAGACAGGGTTTCTCTGTGTAGCCCTGGCTGTCCTGGAACTCACTCTGTAGACCAGGCTGGCCTTGAACTCTTGAACTTAGAGATCCGCCTGCCTCTGCCTCCCAAGTGCTGAGATTAAAGGCGTGCACCACCACTGCCCGGCCCCTTGGTTATTTCAAAATAGGGTTTCTCTGTCTCTCCTGGAGCTCACTCTGTAGACCAGGTTGGCCTTCAACTCATACAAACCCACCAACCTCTGCCTCCCAAGTACTGGAATTAAAGGTGTACACCACCATCCCTCATGAAACTCTTTTTTAAAAAAAGTTTTATTAAGTTTTTTTGAGACAGGACTGTAACGCAGCTGCTTCTGGCCCAGATCTTGCTATATAGAGCAGGCTAGCCTCAAGTTTATGGTGATTTTCCTTCCTCTGGTCAAGTATTAAGATTAAAGGTGTGAGACACCACACCTGGCTAAAAACTGGCTTCTCAAGTACATTGCCCATGGTCTTTAAAAGAAAAAAAATGTTATTGTTTCTTTTTTTTGTTTATTGAGCTGCTAGGTATTAGACTAAGGGGCTAGTTCACACTAGGTAGGTGTCGTTCCCTGCACTCTCCAGCCCCACTGCAACTCTGCCCTCAGCTCTAATGTGTTATGCAGCCGTAAGCACGTGTCCACAGCCTCCTCCAGTAGATAGGACTTCAGGTGTCTGCCAGCACACAGAAAATGGACAAAGTGTTTAGAAACATACTGACATTTCCAAACATTTTGGCGAAAGATCACTTTAATTAATTTCTCTGAAAATGGAATTATATAACTAAATATACATTCCTAAGGTTAAAAATAATAGCCAGTATAATGCTATTACAGTTTGGTAATCCAGTAATTCGAATGAACTAAGTTAATTCAAAGAAAAGAAAATAGAATTTTATTAATTAGTACATTCTTTCAAAAACAATGTGTTATCACTTGAAAAATAATAAACATTTAGTTAACTTTTCAGGGAACTTCTGAAATAATCATACATATTCAAATACTGAATCTTTTGACATCACATTTCTGCTTTAGCCAGTTAAGTCTAAAGTATGCAAAACCTCAATAAAGTGGTTCTAACTGGCTGGCAGAAATAAAAGCAATGATGATATCCTTCAGAATTCAGCAAAAACAACTCCTTAAATTACTATCAAGGAAAAGAAGCTTTTTAGAAGCAGTTTTAGATCCAAGGTAGTTAAAACTTACAATTTTTGTCTATAAAAAATTTCCACATGTGCAGGTTAAATCCTTGATAAAGATCTGAAATGCTTAGGACTAGAAGTGTTTGGATTTCAGAATACACCAGATTTTAGAATATTTATGTAGCACTCATCAGCTGAATATCCCTATTCTGAAAACCAGAAATCTAAAATGATCCAATATCCAAAACTTTTTTTTTGCATTAGATTTTCTCATTAAAAAACTTTCAGCCGGGTGGTGGTAGCGCATGCCTTTAATCCCAGCGCTTGGGAGGCAGAGGCAGGCGGATTTCTGAGTTCGAGGCCAGCCTGGTCTACAGAGTGAGTTCCAGGACAGCCAGGGCTACACAGAGAAACCCTGTCTTGAAAAACAAAACAAAAAAACAAAACAAAACAAAACAAAAGACTTGTAACTCCAGTTCCAGGGGATATTACATCCTCTTCTGGCCAGAGCAGGCACCTACATACACGTGGTGCACATTAGAGACACACATAAATAAAAATAAAACTATTTTTTAAAAAGAATCTTCACCAAGAACTTATTAATTCCTTACTTGCATTCTCAGAATCAAAGAAAAATATTCTCTTAGACTATCAAAAGCAAAACCTACCTAGATTGCTAGTTATTGCTGGGCATAGTGGCACAGGCCTTTAATCCCAGCACGTGGGAGGCAGGGACAGACAGATCTTTGTGAGTTTGAGGCCAGCCTGGTCTACATAGAAAGTTCCAGAACAGCCAGAGCTACATAGAGACTCTGTCTCAGAAAACAAAACAAAAAACCTAGATATTTAACTATCTGTCCTTTCTAATATTCTGTTGCCAATAAAATAATCAGGGATACTGAAAACCCCTGCCATTGAAGGACAGTTTTACTGGCTTTTCTCTGTAGGTTACATGACACCATGGAAACTATGTTTTGGATCAAATCACAAATTATAAAAAATTCTTAACTGTCTTATGTCCTTATACTATATACAGGCTATGTTTCAGCTTGAATTATACTGGAGAAATAGTCAAAATGCACTATTTCCCAGAAGTTTCTAGCAAACAATTTTTACAATTAGGATTCTATTGATAACTGAATAACTGTAAGGCATAAATATCATTTGTATTGTTGCTAAATTCTGCTAATTTGTAAGAGTACTTTATTAATTTAAGATATATACCATTCTCATTCAAAGTTTTAGATAAATCACTCTTTATCTATTCAATACAAGGAATACTCAAAAGAATCAGAAAATCATATAAGAAATATATGTTTGATTTGCAAATGGTCAGAACCTACATTTTCCAAATGTTCCTTGTGCTTTTGTGCCTTCTCTGTCATAGTACTGCAACACCCCCTTCACAACGACTAGTGATCATATTACCAATTTCGGTCCATGTATCTGAATGGGGGTTGTAAACTTCAACTGAGTCCAAAGTACCTGGGGCCAAGAAATCATGGCTAGAAGAGCGGCCTCCAGAAACATACAGAAGACCATTGACTGCCGCAACACACATGCCTGCTCTAGGCACTTTCATTGAAGCAACTTCAACCCACTTTTCCTAATAAAACGAGAAAAGAATTAACATTAGTACTGTCATAAAATGATAATAAAATCTCTGAGAAATCATATATTTAGATTTCACATGTTTAAATTCAAACAAACCAATTAACTATAACATTTTAAAATAAACTTTTGGGTAGGTATGACAAAACAATCTAGAGAGAAATAATAGTTAGACATATCTAACTATAAATTATGATCAAGTGATAATCTAGAAATCATATAGAGGAACTGGAGAGAGGGCTCAGTGGTTAAAAGAACTCAATGGTCTTGTAGAGAACTGAGGTTCAGTTCCCAGTACCTGCATGATGGCTAACAACCATCTGTAACTATAGTTCTAAAGGACCTAACACCAAACCCTCTTCTGGACTCTGCAGACACTGTACACATGTGGTACAAGACATTCATGAGGGCAAAACACTCATACAAATAAAATAAAAATAAGGAAATCTGCTAAAAAAAAAATGTAGGAGTCATTAAAGACAAAATTCTGAGAACCTAAGTCTCTAAAATGCAAGTACTACATTCAAAATGAAGAGATTATCAAGTACCAAGGGGGAGGGGAAGTTTATATATGAAAAGACTTTTTATTGGTAAAAGATTCTTCAAAGTTTTTATTTAGGTAGCTAGAGAGATGGCTCAGCAGTTAAAAGGACTCAGTACTTGTGGTTTGAAAAAGAATGGCCCCATAAGCTGATAAATGCCTGATCACCAGGGAGTGGTACTATTTGAAAGGATTAGAAGGATTAGGAAGTGTGGTCTTGTTGGAGGAAATGTGTCACTAGAGGTGGACTTTGGGGTTTCAAAAGCCCATGCTGGCCTTAGGCTCCATCCCTCTTTCTGCCCAAAGATCAGGACGTAGCACGCAGCTACTGCTCCAGCACTTGCCTGCATGCAATCATGCTCTCCACCATGATAATGGACTAAACCTATGACACAGTAAAGCAAGTCTCCAATTAAATATTTTCTTTTATAAGAGTTGCTATAGCCGGGCAGTGGTGGCGCACGCCTTTAATCCCAGCACTTGGGAGGCAGAGGCAGGTGGATTTCTGAGTTCGAGGCCAGCCTGGTCTACAGAGTGAGTTCCAAGTCAGCCAGGGCTGCACAGAGAAACCGTCTTGAAAAACAACAAAACAAAACAAAACAAAACAAAAAAGTTGCTATAGTATCTTTTTGCAGCAATAAAACAGTGACGAAGACAGAAACTGGTACTTGGAAGTAGAGTTTTGCTGTGATAGGCCTGCCTGACCATTCTGTTTGTTGAAAGAATATGGAAGACTTTGGGACTTTGGACTGAAAAATCAATAGGATGCTTTAAGCTGGGCTTAATGGCTATAGTAGTAAGAGCATGGAAGACAGTGGTACTGAGAGCATTATAAATTTTGATGGCTGAGTTCAATAAGTTTCAGAAAGGAAGACTATATTAGTGACTCAGAAACCATTCTTTTTTTTTTTTTTTTTTTGGTTTTTCGAGACAGGGTTTCTCTGTATAGCCCTGGCTGTCCTGGAACTCACTCTGTAGACCAGGCTGGCCTCGAACTCAGAAATCCGCCTGCCTCTGCCTCCCAAGTGCTGGGATTAAAGGCGTGCGCCACCACTGCCCGGCCTCAGAAACCATTCTTATGATAGATATACAGAAGAATGTAGCTGCTTTCCGTCCTTGTCCTAAAAACTTGTTAGAGGCTAAATGGAAGAGTTTTAGCCTATGGGCATTGGCAGAAGAGATTCCAAGACAACGTAGTATCATGCTACATGGTTACTAGTGTCACTCTTATTCAACTACAATGAAAAGGAACAAGTGGGCAAGGAGAAATTGAAAAATGTACAGTTTGAGGAGGAAAAGAGCATCAGGAACTGTAATGGGGCTAAGTACAGTGCTTAAGGAGATAAAAAGTTTAAAGAAAAGCTTGGTGTTAAATGGAATACAAAGAGTAGTAACCTTAGGGTAAGACCCCACACAGCTAAGCTTCTTTTTTTTTTTTTTTTTTTTTTTTTTTTTTTGGTGGTTTACGCCTTTAATCCCAGCACTTGGGAGACAGGAGGCAGAAAAATGAGGATTTCTGATTTCAAGGCCAGCCTGGTCTACAGAGTGAGTTCCAGGACAGCCAGGTCTACACAGAGAAACCCTGTCTCAAAACAAAGAAAGACAACGAGAAGACACCATACTTGAACCTAAGGAAAAACTCTGCAGTTGGGTCCTTTATTTCTTTTATACACTAGGCCATGAATTCGTATGGAATGGGCTCCAGCAGCTCGGGCTCTTTCCCATTAGTCCTCACAAAGTGTGCTTCTCTGGGTGCTGCAGGCTGGCGCTTCAGCTGAACCCAGGTGCCCTTCTCTTTGGCTTCCTTTGGCTTCTGATGGTTCTCCTTCACCCGCTTCAGGAAGCTGTCTCTGCTCTTCGAGTGTTTAATGTGCTCAATCCGCACGTTGATCCTCTTGGCCAGAATCTTGCCCTTAACTTGCTTGTTTACAATGATGCCCACGGCATGCTGGGTGACATTGTAGACTCTTCCGGTTTTGCCGTGGTAACACTTATGGAGCATTCCTTTTTGAACAGTACCCATTCCCTTGATGTCTACAATATCACCCTTCTTATAGATTCGCATGTATGTGGCCAAAGGAACAACTCCATGTTTCCTAAAAGGCCTAGAGAACATATACCGAGTGCCTCTCCTCTTTCCCTTTGTGTTGGTCATTTTGGCGAGTTAACTGGAAGATGGCTGCCTAGGCCGAAAGCCACAGCTAAGCTTCTAATTCGTGAAAAGGAATTACAGAAAAGCTTCAGCAGTGAAGGAAACCATCAACAACAGAAAGCTGATACAAACATAACTGATCAAGAGCAGCAACTTGCAGCCCCGTAAAGCAGCAGAACTTGGCACCAGCCATGGGATTTTAGCTTTAGAGTCAAGGATACAAGAAAAAGATTTTGGAATATCCCTCTGTGCCTTTAGCCACTGACAGTAGGCATGTGTCAGGGTGGTTCTTGCTTGGAGGCCTAGAGAGGCCATTTCATGAAGCTGTGAAGGTAAAGCCTGGATTTCTCTGGATCCCAAAATAATGGAGAATTCCAAAGCTGGAGGATTATCTGCCAAAGAGAGCTGCAGACCAGTTATGGAACCAGCCTAAGAGAGAGAAGTATGCAGTCAAAAGAGCTGAAAGAAATTAGAGATCTAATTTTGACATTAGAAAGAAATGCAAAATTTTGGAGTCTGCAGCTGAGCCATTGAGAAAATGCCTCCATAAGATTCAGCAATAGAGCATTTTTTAAATTAGTGATGGGCGATAAAGTAGGCTGAGCAAACCACAATGAGCAAACTAGTAAACAGCGCCTGGTAATGTTCTCTGCATCAGCTCCTGCCTCCAGGTTCCAAGTCTGTTTGAGTTCCTGTCCTGACTTCCTTCAGTGATAGACTACAATGGACCATCTCCTCCCCAAGTTGCTTTTGGTCAAGGTGTTTCATCATGGCAATAGTAACCCTAACTAGAACATTTACACATATATAAAAATAATAGTTGAATACTTTTTAAAAATCTATTTCTTAGTTTATGTGTCTGTAGACATATATGATACAGCATGTGTGTGTGAAGGTCAAAGGACAACTTCAGTTCACTGTTTGTGGACTCTGGGGATGAAACAGAGGTTACCAGGCCTGCTCTACAAGTGCCTTTACTCACAGAGCCACAAGTAGTCTTGGCTGTACTGGAACTTGCTCTGAACTTCAGGCTGGCCTTCCTAGTACTGGGATAAAAGGTGTGGACCAACCCCTGCTCTGCTCCTTTAAAAGTTTTTTTAAAGTTTTGTGCTAACAAAATCTTTATTATTTTCCAAGAAAATACTATACTTCACAATATTCTCCAGATTTATTTGAACATGGATGGAAACTTTATTCCAAGGATTGTCCAGTAGAGTCCATAATCTCCAGAATGTACTCGCAAGGAGTATTACATTTTATATAGCTTGAGAGCAAGGAATGATTTTTCCATAGTGAAAAGTTATTTTTTAAGGTTGGGTATGGTTGGGAATACCCTTTAATCCCAGTGCTCAGGATACAGAGGCTGACAGCGCTCTATGAGTTTGAGGCCAGCCTGGTCTATACAGATTGAGTTCCAGGACAGCCAGGGCTCTATAGAGAAACTCTGTCTCAAAAAAACCAAACCCTAAAAACCAAAACAACAACCAAACAAACAAGAACAACAAAACCCAACAAAACAAGAACAACAACAACAAAAAACTCCCAAAGACTTGTTTAATTTTGCTGGTGTGTATGTGTTTTCACATGCATGAGTTCATATGCACTACATATATGCAAGGACTAAGGGACACCAGAAAGTGTTGGAACTGGGAGTTATACAGAGTTATGAGCTACCTGATATGCGTGCTGGAAACAAAAGAGCAGTAAATGATCTTAACTGATGACCTATTTCTCCAGCCCCAAAAGATTTTTCTTTTGTTTTTTTAAATGAAGGATGCCACACATGGTGGTACATGCCTTTAAACCTAGCATTTGTGAGACAGAAGCAAGCAGATCCTGCTGAGTTGAAGACAAGCCTGGTCTAAATAGTGAGTTCCTAGCTAGCCAGTGATACATTGTGAGGCTCTCTCTCAAAAAAAATAGTGATAATAATAATAATAATAAAAATTAAAGTATAGAAATAAGCTGGAGAAGTAGCTTAGCAGTTAAGAGCACTTATTGCTTTCCCAGAGGACCCAAGCTCAATTCCCAGCACCCACATGGCAGCTCATGGCTATAATTCTAGTTCCAGAGGATCTGGCACTCATACAAACACACATACAGACAAACAGCAATGCACATTAAATAAATAAATAAATAAATAAATAAATAAAATATGTAAGGAAAAGAAGAGAACCTGGAGATATGGATCATTAGTTAAGAGGACTTGCTGCTTCCAGAGGACCTGAGTTTAAATCCCATCCCATATACGGAGGCTCATAAGCACCTATACCTACAACTTCCAGAGGCTTATACCCTCATCTGACCTCTGCAGGTATCTGAACACACATAGAAGGCACACAGACAGAAACATATAAATAAAAACAAACCTTTACTTTTATTTTTAATTTAATTAATTAATTCATTCATTCATTTTAGACAGGGTTTCTCTGTGTAGCCCTGGCTGTCCTGGAACTTGCTCTGTAGACCAGGCTAGCCTTGAACTCACAGAGATCCACTACTTCTGTCTCCAGAGTTCTGGAATAAAAGGTATGGGCTACCATACCCATCCCCAGATATAAGGTTCTGGAACTGAAATAGTAGATTACATTTGAAGGCTAAAAAATTCTATAATTACAAAGAACATCACAGAACTGGCATAGCTGAAAAAATTTAATTAAGACAAATTAGGATGCCTTAGAGTTATGTCTGCAGTAGAGAGAGTTTTACCTTTCTCACAAATGTTCCCTGACAAGAATAAAGAGACCATGGGATCACTTTGTATTGTTTCTTTCATTTCTATCAATGTGTAATACAGAACTATTAAACACTATGAACCAAAACATGATAGAGGTTAAGAAAGAGACAGACAGCCGGGCGGTGGTGGCGCACGCCTTTAATCCCAGCACTTGGGAGGCAGAGGCAGGCAGATTTCTGAGTTCGAGGCCAGCCTGGTCTACAGAGTGAGTTCCAGGACAGCCAGAGCTACACAGAGAAACCCTGTCTCAAAAAAAACAAACAAACAAACAAAAGAGAGAAAGAGAGAGAGAGAGAGAGAGAGAGAGAGAGAGAGAGAGAGAGAGAGGAACAATACAAAATGTGTCCTTTGATCAAAATAGAATTTAATTAGAAATCAACTTAGATGGCTGAGGCAGGAGGATCACCAGCTAAAGGTAAGCCTACACTACAAGAGCTCACTCAAAGGTAGCCTAGGTCTTGTAATAACACCTTGTCTTTGATTGTTTTTGTTTTCCAAACAGGGTTTCCCTGTACAGTACTGACGATCTTGGAACTCACTCAATAGAGCAGGTTGGCCTCAAATCAAAAGATCTCCACCTGCCTCTGTCTTACAAGTGGTTGGATTAAAGACATGTGATACCATCACCCATCCAAGACCTTGTCTTAAAATAAACAAAGGGGGCTGGTGTACAAATAATAATAATCATAATAATAAAATTTTTAATTAAAAATATAAATGGAACTCCAGGTATTGGTACATGCCATCAAGACTGACAACTAAAATCCAATCCCTAGGAGACCCATATGATAGAAACAGAAAACCAACTCCTGCAAATTGTCCTCTGGTTTCCACATATATAATGTAGAGATCACCCCCCAACACATACACCCACACACACCCACACACACACACATACACACTCCCCCCCACACACACCCCATACCCCCCCACACACCCCCCACACCACACACACCCACACACACCCTACACACACACAGACACCCCCCCACACACATACCCACACACACCCCCCACACACACCCACACACAGACACCCCCACACACACACACTCCCACACACACACCCCCACCCCCCACACACACCACACACACACACAGACAAAATAAATAAATAAGTAAACCTAAATAAAAATTAAAAAGAAATAGAAACTAGTAGTTAAAAGATACCTGGAAAATCTACATTTATTAGTAAATTATGTTAGATATTTTTTTTTCATGTTATTGCTGTGGACTGGACCCAGCGACTCACAGTGGCTAAGTGTGAATTTTACTATTTAATTAATACTCCCAAAGCAATGCGATTCTTATAACAACCCACTGGGTCAAATAAAAATTACCAGAAATTTCAAAAATATTTTAAGGTAAATATTAATTAAAATACAACAGGACCTGGAGAGATAGCTCAGTGATTAAGAATTCTTACTGCTCTTACAAATGACCCAGTTTTGATTCCTAGCAGCCACAATTGACACACCACAACTGCCTATAATTGAAGTTCTAGGGGATCCATTGCCTTCTGGTCTCCACAGGTATCTGCATTCATGTGGTACACATAAAGTCACATAGCCTCGACATGTATACATACATATAAAAAATAATAAAGTTTTAAAAATTAAAGCATGCCGGGTGGTGGTGGTGCACGCCTTTAATCCCAGCACTTGGGAGGCAGAGGCAGAAGGATTTCTGAGTTCGAGGCCAGCCTGGTCTACAGAGTGAGTTCCAGGACAGCCAGGGCTACACAGAGAAACCCTGTCTCGAAAAACCAAAAACAAAAAAAAAGAGCATTTGCACACACAAACCACTAAAATTTTGAAAAATTTTAAATTACTATATGTGTATTAGTGTCGTGCCTTCTTGTATGTTTTATACCATGTGTGTGTGTGCTGCCCAAGGAAGCAAAAAGAGAATGTTGGATGCCCTGGAACTAGAGTTCCAGACGGGTCTGAGCTGCATGTAGGTACTAGAAATTGAATCTGGGTCACCCCTGCAAGAACAGCCAGTGCTTTTAGCCACTGAGCAATCTCTCCACCCTACACCAAAACTTAAAAGAGCATTTATAGTTATAAATGATAAGAAGATGAAGATTTATAATCTGCCATCTCAGTTTCTAATTTAACAGACTAGAAAAGGGCAAACATTTAAAATACAAAAGCAAGACAAAATAAAAATAGAAATAATAGAAAATAGACAGCAATTAACAGAAGTTTTAAAAAGTGATACATAAAGTCTGTTCTTTAAAAAGAGAAAGAGAAAACTGACAATCAAAATAATGAGTGAAAGAAAACAACACACCACTACAGATATAACAGGTATTGAAAGAAAATAAGACACCAAACATTTGAAATTGTTCAACCTACCTCTTCAAAGGAGTACTTTTCTACAGTGTGAAGGGCATCTTGTGTCTCATTCCACCCTCCGATAGCATAGATGCAGTCATTGAGTGCTGCCACCCCAAGGTAGGCTCTTCTGGTTCCCATAGGAGGAAGTGGAGACCAGCGCTGGGAAAGTGGATCATAAACCTCAAAGGAACGGAGCTCAAGTCCCTCATTGCTGATTCCTCCAACTGCATAAACTAAACCTGAAAAATGGAAGATTTGTGCTCAGTTTCTATTGAACAGGTACAGGCTAACCATGGTAGCACAAGTGTCTGATCTCAACACGCAGGAGGCAGAAGCAGTCGGACCAGCCTGGTGTACATAGTGAGCTCCAGTACAATAGCCAGAGCTACAGAGTGAGACTTTGTCTTAAAAAATTAAACAAATTGTGTTTGTACTTTCTCCCTACTTATGAAAAATAATTTATGCATTGACATGAGAGACAATGACAACAATGGAAGACACATCAAACACTTATTTTACTAAACAGCTGTTGTGGATAGCCCTCACCTTGTATTTTGATACTAACTCCCCTTTCCTGTGAAGGGCAGCAGAGGAGGTGTGAGTCACTACACAGGTGAATTCTAGTGAACCTTCTGCCCATCTTAATTTGTAAAATAACGGCTGGAGCCAGTGATTGGGCAGAGGAGGGGAGGAGATATAAAAGTTGGTGGAAGAGAGCAGAGGGGAGGACTGGAGGAAGACAATGGAGGAGGAAGACGACAAAGGAGAGGACGACTGGGAAGCAGGAGGTAGAAGGACAGACGCGGGGTCTGGAAAACCCTCAAGTTATAAGGGTCTCATAGCTGGGGAATGGAGTAGTGTAGGAGTATCTGCCCAATCTAGGCTTACAGAATATATTCATAATTACTGAGTTGTGTTTTCATTGACTGGTCATATTTGGGTTGGAGATTTAAATATCTCCCACTACAAACAGCTACTCTATCTGGATTTTTTTTCCTATTCTTTAAAAAAACATTTTATTTGTGTGTGTTGGTAGAGCTATAAATAGGATGGTATAAAACCAATATGAACACTTACTAGTGACTACAGTTTCAACAAAGAATAATAAATTGGTTCCATATGCCATGTAAAGGGTGTTGAGTTCAGATGACAATTTTCACGGGTCAGTTATTAATGTCCACCATCAGGTTGGCAGGCCTGGCAGCAGGCAAATTTACCTACCAAACCATTTATTTAGTACCTATCTGAAGTTTCTTTATTTTTGATTTTTTATTTTATTTTTTTTTTTTTGGAGACAGGGTCTCTCTTTGTAGACCGAGCTAGCTTTCAACTCACAGAGATCCATCTGTCTCTGCCTACCAAGTGCTGGAATTAAAGGTGTGCACCATCATACCCTATAACCAGTCTTTGCTACTTTGTGGGTTTTTCTTTTTCCTACCCTTTATTCATCCTCCCTCCCTGGTTTCACCTCCTATCACAAGATAGGAGAGAAAGAGAGATTCCTGAATCTAATTTCTTTCTTCTTGTTTTTTTCTTTGAGCATGACTACTAACAAACTACAGCCAAACCCCGCCAACCCCAAATAGCCAACAACCACCAATCCCCCTATCAGGGCTCTAGCATTTTTATACCCTCTGAAAGATAACCTTCAGAATTACAAATGTTATAAAACCAAAGAAACTGCGCTGGCAAAATCATGCCTCTCTAAAGCACCAAGCAAATCATAGTCAGCTGCTGCACCACATTCCCACACCTGGGATTAAAATGAAAACACATTCTTACAATATTTTTATGAATTTTTAAGAAGAATTATTCATTTATTTAATGTCTATAAGTATACTGTACACTGTAGCTATCTTCAGACATAACAGAAGAAGGCATCAGATCCCATTACAGATGATTGTGAGCCACCATGTGGTTGCTGGTAACTGAACTCAGGACCTCTGGAAGAGCAGTCAGTGCTTTAATCATTGACCATCTCTCCAGCCCCTATTTCTGTGTTTTTTAAAGAAACCCAAATTCCAGAATTCTCACAACAATATTTGGCTTCCATCTGAAGTTTTTAACTTACTTTTCTTCATTACAGAAAAATTGTTCTGGCAATACAGAAACAAAACATCATTAATAGAAGAGGTAAAAGCCAGAACTTCTACATTAAATAACACTACTTCTCCAATAACAGACCTAAAACATATTTTGAAAATAAGGCCTCAAATAGTTCATAACTTATACCTATTTGCTTTGTGTGTCATGTGCATATATGTGTGCACCCACAGGGCATGTGTGGAGGTCAGTGGAAAGTTTGCAGGAGATGGTTCTCTCCTACCATGTGGGTATGTAGGTTCCAGGAATCAAACTTAGTCACATTTGATAGAAGCTCCTTTACCTTTTGTCTGCCTCTCAAACTGTTTTTATGAACAGATTTTTACACACACACAATCTTCTTGCTAGGGATATACAGAAAAACCTTGTCTCAAAAAGGATGCAACACCATGCCCTGCTACCCAAAACTAATTTTAAACATGACTTCTGTACCTTCAAAACTATAATACTAATCAAGGCCAATTCTAAGCAAAACCACACATACATATATATGCAACAAAATGATAACTACTGTATTGCTGGTAACTGAACAGAAAAAAATATTTTATAAATACCTTGCATTTCACAGCACCCAAAGTAGTAGCGGGACACTGCCATGTTGCCAACCACTTCCCATTTATTTTCATCAGGATCAAATCGTTCAATGGTGTTGCCAATCTCAGCTCCAACCCACCCACCTGTAACAAAATGAAAAATAATAACTTCTGAGACAAGGGAATCTTACTTATGACAAGGACTTTAGAAACCACCTAGTCCAATTATTTCATGTTACAGATGAGTCCACAAGGACCAGAGGTGATCTAAGTTGCCATAAAAAGTCAGAATGTCGCTGGGCGGTGGTGGCACATGCCTTTAATCCCAGCACTTGGGAGGCAGAGGCAGGCAGATTTCTGAGTTCGAGGCCAGCCTGGTCTGCAGAGTGAGTTCCAGGACAGCCAGGGCTACACAGAGAAACCCTGCCTCCCCCCCCCCCACAAAAAAAGTCAGAATGTAGTTATGAGTAAAGTTCAGATTTGTTCATTATAGACAAACAGGAAAATTTAGCATATTGTAGGAAAAATGCACTTTTTCCAATTTTTTTTATTTTTAATTTTTAGAATAGTTTCATTATATAACTCTGGCTATTATGGAACTCAGAGGTCTGCCTGCATCTGCCTCCTAAGAGCTGGGATTAAAGATATGTACTAACAGTCAGGTGGTGATGGGCCATGCCTGTTATGGGAATTTTGGTTTCTTTAAAAACCCAGTTATGTGAATATGTTTGTTTTAATCCTAGGTGTGGGATAAAAGGCTGCTTCATAGCAGATGACTATGATTTGCCTTGTTTACTAGCAGGGGCGTGATTTTTGTCAATTGTAGATAGCTTAATTCTGGGGATTCTGGAAAGGATATAAGGGGAGAGCTCTAAGAGGGCCTGTGGTGGCTGCTGCTTACCCTGCTGGTCTCCCCTGCTCCCATCACTGCTGATACTCCCTGCAGGTTCCTCCGGCTGCCACCCTCCCTCCCCACCTGGTCCCTGCTGGTCTCTGCTGCTGCTTTTGCTATTGCTGGTTTGCTGCAATGCTGGATATTCTGATGACACAGATTGGACACCCACCAAGGACCCCAAGCCCCTAATCAGCAGGAAATAGCCTATAGAGGTCAATGTTCTTTTTTCACTCTGATCTTCTCCTGCCTAGTGTTGGAAGGTTGGAAAGGAGGTAGAGGTATAAGAACCCAATAAAGTAATAAAATAAATTCATCAACACATACCTTTAATCCCAGTACTCAGGAGGCAGAGGCAGGCAGATCTCTGAGTTTGAGGCTAGCCTGATCTACAGAGTGAGTTCCAGGACAGCCGGGGATACACAGAGAAACCTTGTCTTAAAAAACAACAACAAGCCAGGCGGTGGTGGCGCACGCCTTTAATCCCAGCACTTGGGAGGCAGAGGCAGGTGGATTTCTGAGTTCGAGGCCAGCCTGGTCTACAGAGTGAGTTCCGGGACAGTCAGGGCTACACAGAGAAACCCTGTCTCAAAAATCCCCCCAAAAAAACCAACAACAAAAAGCACTAATACACCTGACCACAAAACTATCTTTCTTTTTTACTCATTCCTTTTTTTTTTAAGACAAAAGTTTTATTATGTAGCCCTTGCTGTCCCAGAACTCATTATGTAGACCTGAATGATCTTGAACTCAGAGATCTTCCTGCTTTTACTTCCTATGCCCCGCTCCCCCTAAACCAGTTTTTAACATGACTTTAATAGCTTCAAAATTGTTAATATTTACCGAGGCCAATTTTAAGCCAAACTACAGTATACTACTTATTTAGGATGAATTTGGGGACTTCAAAAGGTTTTTTTATCCTCAAGTATCATTTTCTAAATATTCTCCAGGTATGTTTGTTTCTTTCTTTGGACATGGTATCACTGTGTAGTACTGGATTCCCTGAAGGTCACTATGTAGACCAGGCTGGCCTTGAACTCAGATCTGCTTGTCTCTGCCTCCTATCCAGTTATTTTTGTGTTGTTTGTTTTTAAGTTGGTTTGCTGGGGTTTTTTATTCTTTCTTTTTTTTTTTTGAGATTATAATTACATCACTTGTTTCTTTTGGTTTTCCTCCTTTCAAGCTCTCTTACATACTCCTTTCTCTAAAATTCAAGGCCTCTTTTTTCATTAATTATTGTTACATACATATATGTATATCTTATATATTTCTAAATACATAAGTCCAACTATATGTCCAATGTATATGCTACTTGTATGTATGTTTACAGGGCTGACCTTTTGGTAGTACATAACCTATTGGTGTGCTCTTCCCTGGAGAAGACTGTTTTCCACTCTTGGCATTGTTTAGTTGTCTATAATTCTTTGTGCAGAGTTGAAGCCACGTGGGCTTTCCTCCATCCATGTCACTGTTGATTGCTGTTGCCTTGTTCAGCTCATGTTTAGGCAGTCAGGTTTGGAAGGAAGCCTTCATGGTCCATCTTCTGACATCCTCTAAACTGCAGGCTTATAACAGACTGACCGAATGCTTTCCATTCCCTCTTCTGCAGCGATCCCTCAGTCTTAGGTGCTAGTTTTGAAGGTTTCTTTTCTTTTCTTTTCTTTTCTTTTCTTTTCTTTTCTTTTCTTTTCTTTTCTTTTCTTTCTCTCTCTCTCTCTCTCTCTCTCTCTCTTTCTTTCTTTCTTTCTTTCTTATCTTGAGACACAATTTCTCTGTATGTAGCCCTGACTGTCCTCAAATTCACAGAGATCCACCTGCCTCTCCCTCTTGAATGTTGGGATGAAAGGTGTGTGCCACCACAACGCAGCAGGTGTTTTATATTTTGAGCAAGGGTTTTATACTGTAGCCCAGGCTGGCCTAGAACTTACTGTTTTAGGGTTATTTGCAGTACTCTTCCAGAGTGCTGGTCCATTTCTCCGGTTTTTGAATTTAAAATTTTTTCCTTCATCCATATATCACAGCCAATATCTACTGTTAGAACACTCAAGAAGGAGAGGCAAAAGAATGGAAAGTTCAATGTTTCTAGGGTAGCCTGGGCTACAAATCAAGACCCTATCTCAAAAACAAAACAAAAAACCAACAACAACACACACACAAAAATAAACTTCACTTTTTTTTTTTTTTTTTTTTTTTTTAAAAAAAAACAAGGTCTCACTAAGCAGCCCCTTTCAGGTCTGGAACTTACTATGTAAATCAGGCTGGCCTTGAAATCCCAGAATCTACCTTGCTTCTTCCAGCCCAAGATCTACGTATAAATTTCTTATGTCAGTAAAGAACATCTATAAAACTGTCAGACCCCAGGAATTTAGTCTCAGTTGTTCTTCAATCAAACAGCATAATTACCCAAAGCATAGATTGCCCCGTAGCACACACAGACTCCTAATCCACAGCGTGGGTGATTCATTGAAGCAACAGTTGTCCATTGTTTAGTAACTGGATCATAACACTCAGTACAGTCAAAGATCATCGAATCCTTTTCTCCTGATTTAAAAAAGACATCAGGTTTAGTGATGCTAACATAATAGAATCATAACATAATACTCAGCAACATTGGCATTCTCTGTTTTCAGGAATCAACCATTATGTCTAATTTAAAAATATCTATTAAAAGCCTTTGCCTAGAAAGTCGTATTTTTAACTCAAAGCACTGTCACTTATTAAGAGACCATTTGCAGAACAAAGGGCCATGACTTTTTAACTACTCTAATTCTACCACCTAAACAATTTGCATTTTTTACACTCCCATTTCATTTCCAGTAATAATTCTGGTTCATGGCCTGGTACAACTTGAATTTTAATGTAATTAAAATCCATATGTAGCAACAAACAGAAAATTTGAGAAAAATATATATATTAAAGATTTATGTATTTTATGTGTATGAGTACACTGTCACTGTCTTCAGACACACCAGAAGAGGACATCAGATCTCATTACAGGTGGTTGTGAGCCACCATGTGGTTGCTGGGAATTGAACTCAGAACCCCTAGAAGAGCTGTCAGTGCTCTTAACCACTGAACCATCTCTCCAGCACAAGAAATTATATATATATATTTTTTTTTTTTGTGGTTTTTCGAGACAGGGTTTGTAGCCCTGGCTGTCCTGGAACTCATTTTGTAGACCAGGCTGACCTCGAACTCAGAAATCCGCCTGCCTCTGCTTCCCAAGTGCTGGGATTAAAGGTGTGCACCACCACTGCCCGGCAAGAAATTATATTCTTAAAATAGAATTTTAAAATACACTATGATTAAAAGCCTAGGGAAAGTTCTTTTCATCAATGGTTTAAGCACTGAAATGTCTACACCACTGCCTGGCGACAGAATTTATTCACTGAGATACTGGTGCCTGCTGGTGCACTACTTTATTCTTGGCACTCAGGAAACAGAGGTAAGAGGATCTCTGTGAGTTCAAGAACAGCCTGGTCTACATATTGAGACTTTGTCCCAAAATAAAATTCTTCAAAAAAGGTTAAAATTCTAAATTGAGGAACATATAGAAAAATGAAGGTGTACAATGTTCATGAACTTTAAGAATCAGCGTAGAGTCTGGAGAGATGGCTTGGCAGGTAAGAACACTTGCTGTTTGCAGAGGACCAGGGTTTGCTTTTCCAGCACCAACATGATGGCTCACAACCATCCAAAACTAGTTCTAATAGATGCACCCTTTTCTTACCTCCTCATGCATTGTATACATGCGGTGCACATACATACACACAAGGATATATATACAATAAAAAAAAAATCTCTTTAAAAACTGTCAATGTCTTTCCTATTAGTTGTATTTGATATCTGAATGGTCTGTTTATAAAATGCTATATCTGTGACTTATTAATAAATATTTCCGCCGGGCAGTGGTGGCGCACGCCTTTAATCCCAGCACTTGGGAGGCAGAGGCAGGCGGATTTTTGAGTTCGAGGCCAGCCTGGTCTACAGAGTGAGTTCCAGGACAGCCTGGGCTATACAGAGAAACCCTGTCTCGAAAAACCAAAATAAATAAATAAATAAATAAATAAATAAATAAATATTTCCTGTTGAAGAAGGCTGTGATATAGAATTGGCATAATAAAAACAGTCATTCAAAACTTAAAAAAAAAAAACTGTCAATGTAACTCCTGAGAGGGAGAAGACCTTAATCAGGGAGAAGAAAAAAAAAAAGCATGAAGGGAAATGGGATACACGTGAAATAAAAGCAAAAAGGAGGACTACTTGGGGATGAAAGAGATCAGCAAGAAAGAGATGGAGGAGACAAATGCCATAATGACACACATGACTGTGCCAACCTAAAAAAATCAAATTGAAAAAGCCAATATAAGGATAAGTATGGAACCCTAGCCCCCAATCCAATTTTTGAAACATATAACAAGCAATCCAAAAAATTAAAGTTTGTTGCTGTTTTGGAAACATGACCTGAATGTATTATAGTTTATATTTTATGATTCACTATGATATGTATCAATTTAAATAAAAATATGTGGAATATTGTGGAAAATTGACATATAAATATGGTGGTTTGAACAGGAATGGCTCCCACAGGCTTATGTATTTAAATGATTAGTCATTAAGGAGTGGCACTATTTAACAGGGATTAGGAGGTGTTGCCTTAGAGGAAGTGTGTCACTGAGGCTGGGCTTTGGGGTTTCTTTTCTTTTTTTTTTTGGTTTTTTGAGACAGGGTTTCTCTGTGTAGCCCAGGCTGTCCTGGAACTCACTCTGTAGACCAGGCTGGCCTCAAACTCAGAAATCAGCCAGCCTCTGCCTCCCAAGTGCTGGTGTGGAGAGCCGCATAGTGCTGCGCCTTTAAGATGGCACTGGTCTCCACCTTCCGCCACCTGCTGGCGAGGACTCTTAGGAGTAAACAACTCCTTATATGGCTGTGGGGTTGATCTGGCTTGTCTCCATGTGTGTGGACCTATCTGCTGTTGCTATGGTGGTTGGCTAGTCCTAGAGTACTTAAGCCTGGTAGCCGCTTTTCCCGGGGTTGTCAGTTAGAAGATTGTTAAAAGGTCCTGAATGAACTGCTTGGAGAAGAGCCCGCGTGTTGCGTCTTCCTTGCTGGTCGAGGGTGGACGCCACATGCTGGGATTAAAGGCGTGTGCCACCATTACTATTACTGATGCTATGGGCTTTGGGGTTTCAAACACTCAAGGCAGGCCCAGGGTCTCTCACTTCCTGTTGCCTGAGGATACAGACTTAGAACTCTCAGCTCCTCTGACACCATGTCTGCCTGTTTGTTTCCATGCTGATAATGGGCTAAACCTCTGGAAATGTAAGCTAGCCCTCTGGAAATGTAAATGGCTTTCCTTTATAAGAGTTGCTGTGATCATGATGTCTCTTCACAGCAATAGAACACTGGCTAAGACAAAGTACAATGAAGAATAGCTAGACTCTAACAGAAAATAATAAGAGAAAAATAGTCCTGTCAGATATTAAATTTTTTTTGAGGGGGCAGGGGCAAGAAGGCATATATACATAAAGATCAGAGGGTAACTTGCAGGAATTGGTTCTCTCTTTCAACAATGTGGGTCACCCAGTGTCTCAATTAGGATTTCTCTTGCTATGATAAAACACCATGGCCATCATGACCATAAGCAACTTAAGGAAGAAAGAGTTTGATTGATCTTACAGTTTGCAGCCCATCCCTGAGGGAAGTCAGGACAGGAACTCAAGGCAGGAGCTGATGCAGAGGTTATAGAGGAATGTTGCTTACTGGCTTGCTACTCATGGCTTGCTCAGCCTACTTTCTTATAACACCTAGGATCATAGCTGCCCTGAGGTGACACTACCCATAGTGGGATGGGTTCTCATCAACCATCAAATAAAAAAAATGTCCCACAAGCTTGTCTGAAAGCCAATACAATGGAGGCATTTTCTCAATTAAGAGCCTTTCTTCCTCAATGACTTTATCTTGTATCAAGTTGACTAAACATTAGCCAACACAGGGAACTGGGTCCTCAGGCCTGGTGGCAATCATTCTTAGCTGCTGAGTCATTTTGCTCGCCTTAAACTAAGATTTTTTTTTTTTTAATAGGTCCAAAGTAATTAAGACAGAGACAGATTGGGACTGGAGAGGTGGCTCAGTACTTAATAACACTGTCTGCTCTTCCAAAGGACCTAGGTAAAATTCCCTGCACCGTCATGGCAGTTCACAGTTGTCTGTAACTTCAGTTCCAGAGGATCTGACACCCTCACACCTATTCATGTAAAATAAAAATTAATTATTTAAAAAAGATAGGGACAGATAAAAAACTAAAGAAACATATGTTAAAGTTATACAGAACAATGGAGAAAAGAATCTTTTATGCTAGTGATGGTAACTGGTATGGGGGGTGGGGACAAGAGAGAAGCCCTGAGGGCCAGCAGAATGAATGGAAATATGCAGCCTTGAGGGATGGGAGATGGGAGGACCCTCTAGAAAGTACCAAAGGCTCGGGAGGTGAGAGACTCTCAGGACTCAAAGGGAGAGACCTTAGATGAAATGCCCAACAGTGCGGCTAGGGAATGTGTAGAGTCCACCTCTAGTAGAAAGACAGGGCATTAAGTGGAGGGACACAGTTGCCATCCCACAGTCAAAAATTGTGACCCACAATTGTTCTTGTCTAATAGAACTACAGGGTCAAAAATGGAGAAGATACTGAAGGAAAGGAGATCCAGTGACTGGCCCAACTTGTGATCCATCTCAAGGGGAGGCTCCAAGGCTTGACACTATTACTGATGCTATGGTGTATGTACAGACAGGAGCCTAGCATGGCTGTCCTCTGAGAGGCCCAACAAACAGCCGACTGAGACAGATGCAGATACTTATACCCGACCATTGGACTGAAGTTGGGGACCCCTGTGATTGAATTAGGGAAAGGCTGGAAGAAGCTGAGGAGGAGGGTGATCCCATAGGGAGATCAGAAGCCTCAACTAACCCATACTCCTGAGATCTCTCAGACACCAAGCCATAAACCAGGCAGCATACATGACCCGGTCCAGGCCTCCGACACATACAGCCTAAGACTGCCTGATCTGGCCTCAATGGGAGAAGACATACCTAACCCTTGAGAGACCTGAGGCCCCAGGGAGTGGGGAGGCCTGGTAGGGGTGGGGGACACATCCTCTTGGAGACAAGAGGAGGAGGAATGGGACAAGGAACTGTAGGAGGGCAGATTGGGAGGGGGCAATGACTGGACTATAAAAAAAAATAAAAGTAATGATAACAAAAAATTGTTCTACCGGGCAGTGGTGGCGCACACCTTTAATCCTAGAACTTGGGAGGCAAAGGCAGGTGGATTTCTGAGTTCGAGGACAGCCTGGTCTACAGAGTGACAGCCAGGGCTACACAGAGAAACCCTGTCTCGAAAAAACAAAACAATTTGGGTAGTGGTGGTGCACGCCTTTAGTCCCAGCACTTGGGAGGCAGAGGCAGGCGGATTTCTGAGTTCGAGGCCAGCTTGGTCTACAGAGTGAGTTCCAGGACAGCCAGGGCTACACAGAGAAACTCTGTCTCGAAAAACAAAACAAAACAAAACAAAAAAATTGTTCCAAAGTAATGAGTGACTTGCTGTTACTAAACTGTTTATATAAACAATGTAGTTTACACTGAACACATACTCTCCTTTTTAGGTCCTAGAATCCAGTTTATTATTTGTTTTGTTTTGAAATAGGGTGTTGAGGTACGTTGGAAGGTGTGTCTTTGTATTTTCAATTGTTAATTCTGGCAGAGAGCTCAATGCTGGTAGGATCTTGCTATTGTTACTTCTATGGCCCATCACAGGCCCCATATTTTGTAAATATTTGTTCTTCCTCATTAGCCTAGTGGCAATCTAGAATTTTATCTGATTGTCTGTAATAAAGAGCTAATGGCCAGTAGCTGGGTAGAAAGAGGAGATGGAACTTCCACGAGAGAGAGGGATGCTGGGAGAAGACATGAGACGCAGAAGGTTCTCCAGTGGACACGGAAGTGAAGGGAAAGACTAGAGTGGAAAAGTCAGAGAGGTAGAATTAGCCACGTGTTTGGACACAGTGTCAAGATCAATCAGGTTCTACTAGATAGCTGGCTTGGAGAGTGTCCTAGCTAATAGGCCTAAGCTTTAAAATATTAAAAATCCTCTATGTCAGTATTTATACTGCTGGTGGGTCTGACAAAGTCCCACTATAACAGAGTCTTCCTAGTTAGTCTGGCTATCCTGATTTCCCTCTGTAGAGCAGGCTGGCCTACAGAGACTCTGTTCCTGCCTTCTCAGTGCTAGAATTAAGATATGTGCCACCATGCCCATCCTATTTGTTTGTTTGTTTGCTTTTGTTGTTTCCTTGAAACAGGGTCTCTATGCAACCTACCTATCCTTGAGAACTCACTAGGTAAGACTAGGTTCGCCTCAAACTCATCTGAGATTCAGTTTTTAATGAGCATGTTTATTTCTTCTAATTGAAAGGTAGAAATCCCAGCACTTGGGAGGCAGAGACAGGTGGATTTCTGAGTTCGAGGCTAGCCTGGTCTACAGAGTGAGTTCCAGGACAGCCAGGGCTACACAGAGAAACTGTGTCTCGAAAAACAAAAACAAAAACAAAAAAAAAAAAAAAAAAAAGAAAGGTAGAAAAAAGTCCTTAAAATCCTACAGGAGAGAGACATGAAAGAATTCTCAAGACTTATAAGATAAATCATCAGATAAAGGCACCAAAACTGATAATCTGAATTCTATCCCAAGAAACCAGATGGTAAAAGAAAAGAATCAACTCCTACAAGTTTTCTCTGACATCCACATGTGTGCCATAGTGTGTCTTGTGCCTGAGTAGGGCCCAGAGGACAGTGAGGGAAGCTTCCATAACTGCCCAAATCTGTTGGCATACCCCTTGACATAAAACAGAGAATCCTAGCAAACTTGTGGAACCTTAGAATGGGTCTAGAATAGAGTGCTTCCCTGTCTTTACATAAGTCCTCATGGGTGCTGGCAGCCTGACACTTCCCCATACTACCAGTGGGGTGGTTGGCTACTCCAGAGCATCTTCCATTCCTCATTGGTCCACTGCTGGAAAAAAAAAATGCTTGCTGTTGTGCAATGCAGTAGATCTGCACCTGGATGCTGATCTTTGGAGTCTGTTTTCCAGGGCTCATGACTTTATCTCCCTCACCCACTCCTTGATCCTGGATCCAACACCATGGCCCACTTATGCATATGTACATATAAATAAATAATAAAGAATGCATAAAAAGATTCTCTTTTTTTTTTTTTGTGGTTTTTGAGACAGGGTTTCTCTGTGTAGCCCTGGCTGTCCTGGAACTCACTCTGTAGACCAGGCTGGCCTCGAACTCAGAAATCCTCCTGCCTCTGCCTCCCAAGTGCTGGGATTAAAGGCGTGCGCCACCACCTCCCAGCTGCATAAGTCTGACTATAGGAACAAATTTACATTCTTTGACAAAATTGTAGCCACCACTAAGTGTTTAAATTGGTTTTTATGCTGTCTTTCTTTTAAAGCTGGGAAAATTAAAGCAATTAAACTAGAATAAGGTTAGCTTTTCTAAGAAAAAAGGAGGAAAAGATGGTAAAGTTCAATACAGTGAAGGGTAAATAATAGTGATATTTTCTCTCTTTTTTGATATTTTCTTGAAAAAGAAAAACATTACATATAGAACATGAACATCTAATGAAAATGGATTTTTCTTCTTGGTTTTGGTTTGGTTTTGTTGTTGTTGCTTTTGTTTCTGTTTTTTGAGACAGGGTTTAACTGTGTAGCCCTGGCTGTCCTGGAACTCACTCTATAGACCAGGCTGCCCTTGAACTCATAGAGACCTGCCTATCTCTGCCTCCCGAGTCCTAGGATAAAAGGCATTCACCACTAGACCTGGCCCTGAATTTTTCTTTTTGTAATTTTTTTTTTTACATTTTATTTTTATTTTATGTGTATGTGTATTTTGTTTCCATGAACATCTTGTACAACATACATACAGTGTCTGCAGAGGCCAGAATAGGGTGTCAGATCCTCTAGGACTAGAATTACAGGAGGTTGTTAGCCACCACATGGATGTTGGGACAGAACATGGGTCTCCTAGAAGGACAACCAGTTCTCTTAACTGCTGAGACATCTCTCTGGCCTCTCCCTCTTTTTTGAGATGGGTCTTATGTAACCCTGGCTGGCCTCAAACTATTTGTGCTGCTGAGAATGACTTTGAACTTCTGACCTCCTGCCTCCACCTCTTGAGTGTTGTGATTACAGCCAAGGACTACCATCTATGATTTATACAATGCTGAGAATTGAAGCCAGGGCTTCCTGCATGTTAAACAAGCACCATATCAACTGATCTACATCTTCAGCTCCCAAACAGGATTTTTCCTTCAACAGTAAACAAGGAGCCACTCTAGAGTTGAGAATAGGACAATAACATGATCAGACTCAAAATGTAAGAGCAGACTTTAGAGATTAAAACAGGAACATCAAGATACGGCAATGTTGAAGTAGATACATCTATATAAATACTGTTGGACTGGATATAGGTGTGAACGAGGACAACCTGGAGGATGCTTGAAGTTTTGAGCGTGTCTTCAGCTCATTGGTAGTGCTGGCCTCACATACATGAGGCTCTAGGATCAATCACTCAGTACTGAAGGAACAAACAAGATGTCTAAAGCTTTGTTCTGACCAACTAGGTAAATCATTGCTACTATCAAGAACATGGCAAATCATGGGAGGAAAATACAGATTTTGGTGTAGACATGTTAATTATGAAGTATGTATTGGCCTATAAGTTAAGTTCAAAGAGATGGTTATTTTATAAATAATTCTTTTTATTAAAGATACCTAAGGGAGAGGGGAGGAAACAAAAAAGAATGAAGATGGTCAAAGTACCTTTCATAGTTGCGAGAGGACACATATACAAACAATGTAGTCACGTAGACTAATGAGAGAAATGAGATATTTTTATCATTACCTCCAATAGCATAGACCATCCCTCCTAAAACTGCAACTCCAAGTCCACACCGAGCCTGATGAAGTGAAGATACAGTGGTCCAGTACTGGCTAAAGGTATCAAAACGTTCTACACAGCTGAGGGCTCTGCTATCACTCCAACGGCCCCCCTGCAACCGTGTATATCCACCTAAAAGCAGGAAGGAAAAAACACACAGCAAACATTTACTGCTAAATATGGAAATGGAAGTAGTGAAGAAAATCTAGGCCTCTATATCTAGACATTTATATAGCTTAGAGACTGTCACCTCTATTAAAGAGTATATAAAGCCGGGCAGTGGTGGCACACGCCTTTAATCCCAGCACTTGGGAGGCAGAGGCAGAGGCAGGCAGATTTTTGAGTTTGAGGCCAGCCTGGTCTTCAGAGTGAGTTCCGGGACAGCCAGGACTACACAGAGAAACCCTGTCTTGAAAAACCAATAAATAAATAAATAAATAAATAAATAAATAAATAGTATATAAAATAGATACCCCTCAATTATGCCAAGTCCTGGAAAATTATGGACTATATGCAATGAGATATTAATCTTAGTGTTTAATCATATGATCTCATTTGTAATAGAAGGCTATATAAAATATATGTCTAGGCCATGTCCTTTAACTAATTATAAAGTTTCATTATGACTTTTGTATGTCTCAATTAAAAACAGTGTGTTGAGGGGATGCTGGGATGGCTCGGTGTTAAAGTGTATGTACTATTGCAAAGGACAGGGAACCACCATAATTCCAGGGATCTCACGCCCTCTTCTGGAGTTTGCAGGCAGCTGTACTCACACATGCATGTTTCTACACAAAGATACACACATATGCGCATAATTAAAAATTTTTTAAAAAGCATGTCAAAAAAAAAAGTGGGTTGAAGACTGGTGAGTTGATCAGTGGGAAAAGGCATTTGTCACTTAAGTCTGAAAACCCAAGCTCAATCCCTGGCACTCACATTAAGGTGGGAGGAAATAATTAACTCCATAAAAGTTGTTCTCTGACCTTCACACACACACCATGGCATGTGCATGCACACACAGAGACCATACACATAATTAATAACACAGAAAATAAGCTTTTAAAAAGTAAAGCAAGAAAACAAAACAAAAAGTAAAGCAAAAGTCGGGTAGCAGTGGTGCACACCTTTAATCCCAGGACTTGGGAAGCAGAGGCAGGTTGATCTCTGAGTTTGAGGCTAGCCTAGTCTACATAGTGAGTTCCAGGACAACCAGGGCTATACAGAGAAACCCTGCCTTGAAAAAAAACACAACACAACATAACAAAATAAAATAAAAAAATAAAACAAAGTAAAAATAATGAATTGAAATTCATGTTTTCCCTACCCATCCACTTATCAAAAAAAATATAGTATACACACCAAAGGAAAGTTTACATATTATAATATGTAAAAAGTATACATACAATCCATCTTGTATAATTATGAGCTATATTATATATAAACAATTATATATAGCCATAGCATATCTAGTATATCTGGATAACCTTACATGCTATATATTGACCAATTTTAATGGTTTAAAATTAAATTTTTTTAACATGCTCCTCTGATGTTTTTTGCACAAATGCACTTTTTTTTTTTTTGAGACAGTTTCTCTACATAGCCCTGGCTATGTACATAGCTTTGAACTCACACAGAAAAACTAACAGATAAAACTTTATCATATAATCTGTCTTCCTTGTGCTGAGACTGAAGTCTTGTACACCATGCCCAGCCTATAAATCCATTTTCTTTAGTTTAAATCAGGAGGGGACAAGATCACATGGCTCCTGTGCCCAACAGCCTTTTCAGGAAGGTTGCATTGGAATCTGACATTAACTGCCACTGTTCCTGGGGGCCTCAGTTACTTTCTGCAGCTCACTCTGGTTTGTCTGTTTGCCTCCAGGAGTCACCGTGTCCTTTTTGCTTTATACACATAAGCACATCTCTTGCCTGAACAGAGCTCAGTTTCATCTCAGGCATAAACATCTTCAGTTTTGAGATGAGCTGTGTGTTCTTTGGTGCTGAGAACTTGCTTACAGCCTTCAAAAATAGCCTTGTACCACAGCCTCCCAGACATATCTGCCTTTTAGAACTACTGTTCCTAGAGGACTCTACAGATTCCAAGATGGCAGAAAGAGTCCTCTTATGGATCATGCTGTCAAAACACTTTGGAAACCACTTACTTTATCACCCCCAATGACTAAGACATTATGAAGAGTTCAAATTGTTAAATATACTTCCTTTGAACTTAAGGTTTGTGTTTTTAAAGACAGTGTCACACTGTAGCCTCAGCTGACCCAGAACTCACTAAGTAACCCAGGCTGACTTTGAATTGACTGCACTCCTCTACCTCAGCCTCAGAATGCTAGAATTGTAGGCATGAGCTACTATGCCTAGCAAAATTTTAACTTTTACAGAAATGTTTCTTGTGCTAGTGAAGTAGCTCAGCAGGGAAAGGCACTGGCTGTCCAGCCTGACAACCTAACTTCAATTCCTGGGCCTACAAAGAGGGGGAAGAAAAACAATTCCTCTAAGTTGTCTTCTCACACCTACACATACACTATGGTCCATGTATGTGCATTCACACAATAGATAGATAGATAGATAAATAAATAAATAAATAAATAAATAAATAAATTTGCAGATAGTCATTTGATGGCAACTAGGTAATCAATGACCAAAGAATTAGAATGTAAAATAGATTGTTGAATGAGAAGCTATCAAGTTTTAAATGTGTTCAACCTATTATGCAAATTCAATTCACTAATCTTAAGCCTAAACATGAAACTAAATATGATTCTGATAACCTTGCATATTAGTAACACCTGCATAGTAACAACAAACTAGTTAAGCTCTTATCCTGAAAATGATTTCTAGCCGGGCGGTGGTAGCACATGCCTTTAGTCCCAGCACTTGGGAGGCAGAGGCAGGTGGATTTCTGAGTTTGAGGCCAGCCTGGTCTACAGAGTGAGTTCCAGGACAGCCAGGGCTACACAGAGAAACCCTGTCCTAAAAAACAAAAAAACAAAAAAAAGAAAATGATTTCTATTATTACCCAAAGTTTCTTACCTACTGCATACAGATATTTTCTTGCTTTCTTCCGAGGTCGAACTTTAGATGTCTGCAGAAAACTACAAAACTTGTTCTCTTTGGGAGACTTGCAGCCCTCACAGTACTCTTTCAAAAGTGTTTGCAGTGCAACTCGAAGATTAAAATCAGATACTCCTAAACAGTATTTAAAAAGACAGTGTTTTAAATGACTTTCAAATATTACTGAAAAGAAACATTTCCTGGTCAGTCATGGTAACACATGCCTTTAATCCCAGCACTCTGGAGGCAGAGGCAGGAGGATCTCTGTGAGGTCTAGTCCATCCTGGACCTAGTCTCAAAAAAGAAAAACAAACAAAATGAAATAAAAAGCAATAAGGAAAACCCCCTCCTCACCGTTGGTGTTGGAGAGGATTAAAGGAATATGCTGCTGTCACAAGAACCCAAGTTCGGTTCCCACCAACCACACCTATAATTTCAGCTCAAAGCAGTCCACATCCACGAGCATCCACGCCCTGGAGGCGTCCACACTTACACACACTTACCAGCACACAGACACACACATCATCTAAAATAAAATAAATCCTCCCAAAATAAACCCCTTATCAAACAATGGTATATTTCTTACAATAGAAAATATTATTTTTATAACTGCTGGCAAGGAATATACTTTCCTTAAGTCTATCCAAATAAATTGTAAATGTTTTAAACGGGACAGTGAGATGGGCTCAACAGGTAAACGCATTTGCCGCCAAGCCTGATGACCTTTGTTCGATTCCTAGGATCTACATGGTGGACGAGAACTAGCCCCTCAAACTTTCTGCTGCCCTCCTCTGATCTGAGGTATGCTTGAACTTACATAAATATACACACAAGTACATAGAAATGTAATTTAAAAGCTTTTTAAAAATACTAAATTGCAAACACATATATAATACTTTCCAAATAAAGATGGCAAAATGAACCAACTTCACAATTAACAGGGCCAGGCTCAGTGGGGTGAGGGGGTGAGTACCTGAGTTCAATCCCCAACACTAAAAAAAAAAAAAAAAAGAACACTACTATCTAAGAAAAAAGTTAAAAATCAACTTTTACACATAAAATCTAATAACAAAGAAAATACATTTATGTTGGAAACCTTTAAAAATGATGAGTTAAAGCAAGAAAAAAATCTTTAAAATTTTTTACAATTAATTTTATTTATGTGGATGGGTGTTTTGACTACATGCATGCCTGTATATCATGTATATGCCTTTCTACAATATTGGTGTTTCAATTCTAACTTCGTTTCCCTAGCAATACATCTCCTCCTATTCTAATGCTCTTGTTTTAGACTGTGTGTATTTATTTATTTGTTTGTTTATTTATTAATTTTTAAAGTTTTGAGACAGAGTTTCTTTTTATAGCCCTGGATATCCTAGAACTCACAGAGATCTGCATGCCTGTCTCCTGACTGCTGGGATGAAAGGAGTGAGCCACCACCACCCTGCAAAATTTATATTTTTTAGTAACTCTACTGTCTGAATTTCAAGAGGAATGTGTTTCTATTTATGGCTAATTCCCCTCATACCCTACCCGCCCACCTGCTTCTCCATCTAGGCTGAATCCTTCCATTTCTTTCTCTTATTTTCCCTGGGATCTACTGCAATAGATGCGTCCCCATCCCACACCCTCACCCCCATCTTGTTTACATAGTTCAAACTCTGCTCTGACAAAGAGATGACTCTCCCTCTCCCTCTTTTTATCTTAGTGCAATTACTCTGTATTCTCCAGTAGAAATTTTGAATAAGACTTGTGTTCTCACTGTATCTTTCTAGCCTGAGACATGAGGGCGGTGAAGCTCTAGGGCTGACGTCCTTACTTTGGATTAAACCTAGTGCTGAATTTATGCTGGGCTAGCCTCCAGTGAGCTCTAACCCAACCAAGATGCTTTTGTTTCTCAACTGCCTCTGCTTTGCTTTTCAATTGTTCATTCTTCCTCCAAAATATCCATTGATGGTTCCCAAGACTTTACTAATTGGCCTTTCCTCCATATTATTTATAAGATACAGAGATAAGAAATAGGGGTATACTGAGAAGGCTAGAAGACAGTCCATTACTAGTTCTATATGAAAATCAGAAAATATTGCTCTTTCAGGGAAGACAATATGTCCTGTTAGTACAGGACATTGGTTGACTTTCATCTCAAGTACCCACCTCATCTAAGTACCCCTGAGCAGAGGCAACCTACTCAATCACACCCAAAAAACTTTAGAAAATTTTCCTCATGACATCAGAATATTTTGTTTCTAAACTGGTCCTGCTGATGCCCACCTGTAGTCCTAGCACTTGGGAGGGTGGAGGAAGGAGGATCAGAAGTTGCAGGTCATCCTTGATTTTATAAAGAGATTAAGGCCAACCTGGGCTAAGAGACCTAAGTCAAAAAGAAGGTGGAATAGAGAGATGGCTCAGTGGTTAAGAGCATTAGCTGCTCCTCTAAAGGAACCTAGTTTGATTCCTGGCACCCATATGGCAGCTTATAACTGTTTGTAACACCAGTTCCTGGTTCTAGGGTGTCTGGCAGGTTTTTCTAGTTTCCAAGGGCACAGGCATATATGCAGGTAATATGCGTGTACACACACACACACACACACACACACACACGACAGTTTCAAAAAAGATGATTGTCAAATGATATATAAAAATATTCAGAAACTACACATAAAAACCTTTCCCAAAATGAAGGGAAAATTAAGCTTATTTATTTATTTATTTATTTTTTGAGAGGTCTCTGTCTGAGACAGGGCCTTACTATTTAGTTCAGGTTAGCCTAGCACTCACTATGCAGTCTAGGCTGGACTCAGATCTGCAGTGATCCTCCTGTTTTTGCCACCTGTGTACTAGGATTACAGACATGCACTTTCATACTCAGAAGAACTTTCAAAAAGAAAGGAAATATGATAGAATCTAATTAAAAAAATAACAAACAAAACCAACAAAAATCAAGAATAATGAAATAGCAGGGCTCATGCCTTTAATCCCAGCACTTGGGAGGCAGAAGCAGGCGGATTTCTGAGTTCGAGGCCAGCCTGGTCTACAGAGTGAGTTCCAGGACAGCCAGGGCTACACATTGAAATCCTGTCTCGAAAAACAAACAAACAAACAAACATCCAGCAAACCCATTGGGCTGGAAAGATGGTTCAACAGTTAAGCAAGCATGGTTTTTGAAGAGAACTAAGTTGAATTTCTAGAACCTACATGGGGCTCATAAACATCTATAATTCCTGTTCCAGAGGATCTGACCTCTTTTTGCTTCCTTGAGCATCAGGCACAGACATAATACATAGACACACATGCAGGCAAAATACGCACATTAAAATTTTAAATAATAAAAATAAAAATTTAATCTGACCAACCCAAACTATGAGTAAAAAAAGAAAATTTGGTAATAAAAACCTCTCCATACTTGAAGCTGCATATGTGATCACATGGCTGTAATCCAGCACTTGTGAGATAAAGGAGTCAGCAGCAACAGAAGTGTGAGGTCACTCTTGGCTGTAGATTGAGTTAGTGACCAACTCCAGCTACATGAGATCCTGTCTAAAACACATAAACCACAGCTGAAAATCATCTGTTAGCACCAAAATCATCCGACTAGAGAGATAAAGGCAAAGAGCCAAGCAACTCGTGACTGCAACACAGAGGTAATGCTATAAACCTTGAGGACTTTGACAGAAAAAGTAGATGGAGAGAAAAGTAAAAATCCTAAGTGCCTAATTTCTCTTAGCAGAGAGTTGACATTGCTTAAAATTGAAACTATAATTTTATTTTTAATGATATTTACCTTTTGTCCTTCAAGTTAAAAAAAAAAAAGTAAGGTAGCTTGGCAGCGGTGGCACACCTTTATCCCAGCACTTTGGAGGCAGAGGGAGGCAGATCTTGGGGTCTGACACCAGCCCGATCACCATAGTGATCTAGGGCAGCCAGGGCTACACAGAGAAACAATGTCTTTAAAACCAAATGAAGATTTAGTTTATTTTTTTAATCACGTGTGTGTGTGTGTGTGTGTGTGTGTGTGTGTGTGTGTGAGAGAGAGAGAGAGAGAGAGAGAGAGAGAGTGTTTCTTTCTGTTGTTGTTACTTCAGAACTAGAAATCCCCCTGGTTGTGGTAGTACACACCAGGAAGATTGTGAATTTGACCCAGCCTAGACTACACCTTAAAACAAGAAATCCCCAACAATTATAAAACAAAGACGAAAATGCTTAGAACCTGAAGATAACTCAAAGTTTACACAGAAGCCATAATATTGTATCAGCTGTTCAATGACTTCTGACCAAAGTATAGGAACCTAAGTTTGATCCTGTCACCCATGTGAAAATTCCCAACATGGTGGCATGAGCCTGAAATCCTAGAACCGGGGAGGTGGAGACAGTAAGATCTCTGGGGCTTGTTAGCTAGCCAGTCTAGATAAATCAGCAAGCTCCAGGCTCAGTGAGAGAGATGTCTCAAAACACAAGGTGAGGAACAACTGAGGAAGACACATCAAGTCAACCTCTAGCCTTTAAGTGCTTACACACACACACACACACACACACGCAAAGAAACAGATCTTAGAGATCAACTAGTTTGATATACAGTAAAGAATTACCTTCTATGTACTTTAAAAGCCTCTGAGATGGTAACAAAGGGAATCGAACTGGATCTAACACTTCCACTACATGTTTCCTTCTCTTTCCCAGATCTTTCAGAATCCACTGCATCGCTGCTAAGAAGACTTGGTATTCATCCTCAATGCTAAGCTCTTCACTTCGTAGAATTTTGGTCAGCTGATCTTTTGTAAGTGCCAGGAACTCTTCCCCACTATGAACCTCCAAGAAATGGACATGAATATAGTTTTCTGTGAACTCCAAAAGGTCATGGCAGGCAATTTGCTCAGAGAACTGAAAGAGTCCAATGCAGTTCTGTGGATCGATTTGTCCTTTCAGAAAATCACAGCAAAGATTAACAACTTCAGTCAACTGTAGCATGTCTGCTGCAACAATCAACTCCTGGACATTATTCACAGCTATGTTCACCAATCCTAGGGAAATAGAAAGATAAAATAACCAATAAAGCAAAATGAACATTTGGCTCATGATTTTACTTGACTTTAATAATAGTTTAATGTTTGCAGAGTAGAAACTTAGTAAATAGGATATGTGGGGAAAAAACCCAAAACTTAAATGACAATGATATTTAACATTTATGGAACAACTAGGCCTGGCTTGGTGGTGCATGTCTTCAATCCCAGCACTTAGGAGGCTGAGACAGGAGGATCTCAGTGAGCTCAAGGCCAGCCTAACCTACATAGTGAGTTCTAGGACAGCCAGTGCTGCATAATGAAACCTTTTCTCAAATAAAACAAAATACAATTTATGGAACAACTATAATAAGCCAGACACTGTTTTAGTTGCTTTATACTCATTTAATATTTACTATACGCCTATCTAGTAGATATCAGTTTTCTTATTATTGTATTAAGGAACTCACTCTGTAGACCAGGCTAATTTTGAACTCAGAGATCTACCTGCCTCTGCTTCCCAAGTGCTGGAACTAAAAGCATGCACCACTACTGCCTGACCCAGAACTAGGAAATTTAAATAACTCTTATCAAAATTATATGACTGACAGGCTAGAGAGATGGTTAAGCACCTAAGAGCACTTGATGCTCTTGCAAAGACACAGGTTTACTTCCCAGAACCTAAGTGAGGACTCACAGTGACTGATATGATAACTCCAGTTCCCATGAGAATCCAAAGCCCTTTTTGGCCACTGTAGGCACTGTACACATTTAATGCACATACATACATGCAGGTAAATACTCACAGAACATAAAAATGAATAATTCTTCAAAAAATGTTTTGAGAAAAGTTGTATGATTGAACAAGTTGCAGGTTAGTCTGACCTTAAAGCCAACACTTTCTTGCTTCTTGAGACTGTCTCACTACATAGAACAAGCTGACTTCCAACTTTCAGTCTTCTTGTCTCTTATTCCAGGATGCTGGGATTAAAGCAGTGCACACTACATCCAGTAAAATTCATACTTTTAATATAGATTATATGCATGTAGCAAATTAACTGAGGTACTGGGAAGGGAAACAAAGCAGGTTTACTAGAGTCATTTATGATATAATGTCATACAATGTTAGAATTTTTTAAAGATTTATTTATTTATGTATATGAGTACTCTGCATGTATACCTGTATGCCAGTAGAGGGTATTAGATCTCATAGATGGCTGTGAGCCACCACTTCTGGTAGAGCAGTCAGTGCTCTTAACGGTGATCCATCTCCATCTCTCTAGCTCCAGTCTTAGTTTTTTAATATGAGTCATAAACAAGAATCTATAGCATATGAGGAACTACTAACTATTTCAACTAAATACTTGAATTCCTTGCCCCAAAGACTCTATTTTCATTTTTTCTTTTTTCTAAGACAGGGTTTCTGTACCTGAGGTTGACCTTGAATTCCTGATTCTTCTGCCCGTACCTCCCAACTGCTGGGATTATAATTATGTGCCACCATGCTTGGCTTCACTTTCATAGTTTATGTAATAACTTTTGGAGGATATTAAATAGCTAATTATATTTAAGGTAGCAGAAATACTATAATTCTCTTTCCTAATAAACTTTTCATTCTGTTTTATACTTTTATCCCTTTAAGGGTCCAGAGCCTTGCAGATAATAGATAACTACTCTACCACTCAGCTGTATACTTAGCCTTAATTTTTTTTTAATTTTATTTCTTTAGATATTGTTTTACTGTGTAGCCCTGGCTGACCTGAAACTTGCTATATAGACCAGGCTGCCCTTAAACTCAAGAGAGATCCTCCGCTCTACTTCCTGCATGATGGGATGTATGCACCACTATGCCCAGCCACCCCAGCTTTTTACAACAATCACCTTATCCCTTTTACAACAATCACTGTACTAAGCTATCTGTCCCTAATTTATTTCCTTTTTCTATTTAAAAAGTTTAAGCTGGCCTTTAACCCAGTGGTTGGAAGGCAGAGATAGGCAGATCTCTCTAAGTTCAAGGCCAGAGTGGTCTTCAAAGTGAGTTCCAGGATAGGCAGAGCTACATAGTGAGATTCTGTTTGGAAAAAAACTATATATATGTGTATACACACACACATATTATATATGTATATTAAAGTTTGTGTATGCATGGTTTACCTTCTCTACTCCCAATGATCTAGTCCAATTGGATGTTCAAAAAATTATTTAAGAGTGAATGACCAAAGAGATTAAAGAAACAGGAAGAATACTGAATACAAGTTGAGGTGTAAGGGACTGGAGAGATGGCTCAGCAGTTGAAGTACTGAATGCTCTTCCAGAAGACCTGGGTTCGACTCCCAGAGCCTATATGACAGCTCCTATCTGTAACTCCAGGAATGGACACCCTCACACAGACACACAAATTGCAAGGCAAAACATCAATGCATATAAAATAAAAATAAATAAATTAAAACAAACAAATTAAGGTTGAAAAGTGTAGGACCATATGATCTAGCAAGGGAATATATGACAGGTGGAGGTGAGAAGAGGTCACTGGACCCCCTGGAACTGGAACTAGAGTTGGTTTTGAGCAGGTGCTGAGAACCAAACCTGGACCTTCTGAAAGAAGATGAAACACTCTTAACCACAGAGCCATTTCACCAGCCTCAAATACCACACATTTAAAAAATGTAATAATTTCCCCCAAGTAGTTTTTTTAACAATTTTTTTTTACATTATTCTCACCTCCACCTCATGTGTGTCTGTATATAGATACGTATCACCATGTCATGCATGGAGGTCAGAGAACAATTTCCTGGAGTCAGATCTTTCCTTCCACCCTGAGGGTTTAGGAATTGAACTCAGGTCCTGAGGCTTTGTAGCAAGCACCTTTACCCATTGAGCCATCTCATCAGACTCCTTTACATAACTGCTGAAGGAGAACATAGTATATTCTCAAAACTAGACCAAATAAAGTATTTGTTTCCATTTTTTCCCTAACTATAAGAGTAATTTCTAGGGGACCCAATGTCCTCTTATCTCCATAAGTACTACATGCAAGTGGTTCATGTATACACATGCCAACAAAATACTCATTCACCTTTAAAAATAAATAAGCTTATATAAGTTACTTTGGTCATGATATTTTATTACAGCAATAGAAAACCAATACATGGATATACCTGTATAAATGAAATCTAGAAGTAACTGAAAGATTCCAGCTTCAACTCCGAGAATCTGTACAACGTCTTTGGAGGACTCTTTCATTCCTCCAGTGAACAAAGCTGCAAAGTATGGACTACTGGCAGCCAGGACCAGCCGATGAACTTGAAAGGTTTCCTTCCCCACCTGTAGCTGCACATCACAGAAATGCTGTCCACTTCTCATTTTGTTCATCTGGGCCAAGATGAGCTGGGCATGTTTATCAGAGGAAAATGAACTGTCAGCAGCCTTGGCACACTCCTCCTTAGACATGATGATCACAGATTAGAGAAAGACACTGTTGCCCATTATCTGCTTCTACCCTGAGAAACAAAGCACAAAGATCAAAGAATGTCTCTCTGTTAATATAGTTTCTATTCACATACAGATGAAATGTTTTCTATAACGTATCTACGATCATAGAACACACACTAAACAAATAAGGGCCATACTACATGATAGGACTTCTAATATGCTTTTGGATAGTGGAATAAGTAGTCAGTAATAAGCCAAAGGATGCTCCACAGAAGAAATAAGCACTAAATTGAGCACTAAAAGATAAACAGCAGTAAGATATGAAGAATGGCCAGAAACCCCTCCTTGGGCAAAGGCAGAAAGAAGTTCTATCACTACAGTTAAGAAATAGACATCTTAGGCAGGATGAACTTCTAAAAATCAACTGTGCTCAAATGTCTGGTTAAAATCTTTCAGTCTATACATTTCATTTAACATAGAAAGCCTTTGTGGATCTTTGTTTTAACCCAAGACTCTGTTCCACACATTTTCCTGATTCTCTCTCCTCTAGACTTGTTAGCCACCCTAACCTTACCTATGTTACCGTCTATATCACATTCAACCACATCTATCCAAACTCATGCACGCACACACAGTTACTGAAAAATAGTTCCTTTATAGAAGAAACTAGTTTCTACTGCTATAGGATCAGTCTCTAACATATATCAGCATTTCAAATGTTTGTGAAATAATAATAAAAGGCTAGGGGTTTTGTTTTATGAGATAAGAGTCTCAAACTTGTAATCATCCTTCTGCCTTCTGACACTTACTGCCGGGATTGCAGGCATGTGCCACCATATCTGCCTCAATTGTTAGCTTCTTCAAAAATTTGTGCTGATTGTAGTTTTTGGCTTGTTTGTTTGGTTTTGTTTTTTTTTAAAGACATGGTATCACTTTGCAGCCTTGGCCAGACTGGAATTCGCCATGTAGACTAAGTTGCCCTCAAATTCAAGAAGATCAATCTGTTCCTGCCTTCTGAGTGTTGGGATTAAAGTCCAGTGCAACCATGTCTCATCCTCAATTGTAATTTCTATGAGAAGAAAAGATAATCTCTAAGGTCACAGAGAAGGAAACTAACAAAGTTTCCCCAGCATTAGTATACCAACAGTCTCAGGTTTATTTTGTCTAAGCCTAGGGTTGTTCCTACCATATTCTATTACATAGAAATTATCAGACCAGGTTGTAGAGAACAGAATCCAAGTACAGAAACTTGGACCTGAATCTTCATAGGTTTACCAAAAACAAACATGCCAATAACCATCTAAGAACGCTTGGGTTCTTCAAGTAGGCATGAAGTAGGAGATAACACAAATCCAATCCTTTCATCATTTCTTATTTCCCAAATAAAAGTTGAAGATAAACATGACAAATTGCTATGAGAACCAAAGGGGTAAATTCAAGTTACTGAATGAAGAAACCACGAGTTCTTGCAATATAAGATCAACAGATAAAACAAAGTAAATGTGAGATGATTAAGGTCTTGTAATTTAGGCATCAAAAAAAAAACAGAATGTTTTTAATCAAACTTTTTAATCAAAATGACAGAACTATTGTAAGCTGATGTTAAAAAAATTCAGTATATAGTATTCAGTCAAAATTATCAGTGAAAAACAGTCTGGGGCTGGGTGTGGTGGTGCAGAGGCAGGCAGATCTCTTAGTTCCAAGCCAGCCAAGACTACACAGTAAGACCTTGTCCTAACAACAACAACAATAATAGTAAATAAAAACTGATAATCATGACAATCTAGAAACTAATTTTTTGTGAGGTTTAAAGGAAGCCACTAAAATTTTCTTCAGCATGTACACAATGCCAACATCTTACAAAGAATTGGCACATAAATACAATCTATTTCCCTCTATGTGGAAATTCGACCTATAGATGTTATTAAACATAGTGTGCCTGTCGGACTTGATGCTGCTTGTATTCTCCGTGACAGCAGATTCTGAACCCCCGTGGTATGATTCCAGGCTACCTCTATTTGTCTCTTACTCAAGGTATTAAAGCACAGCCACTAACTCAAATGCCTCGAGTTACAAGAAACAGTTCACTTAATATTCACTTTGACAGTAGAGGGTCAGAATGTTTGTTGTCATCCTCAGTAAATGTTGATAGTATTGTACCTCATCCTAAAATGTGGCTTGGGAAATGACTGTTCATACAAACATGAAAAACGAAGTTCTGAGATTAGTGCATAGGGATCTAAGGGCTCTGTCTCGATACAGTTTATTGGCTAACGATGGAGACAATCAGAGGGACTAAAGAGGACCTGTGCTTTGGTGGCCTCGATTTCTCTCTCAAGAGCATCTGAAAATTGATTCTGTAAGGGGGGGGCCAGAACTCCAGCTGAGACTCTTTGTGCTTGAGTTGAAGGCTGTAACTAGAATTCTACCTAACCTGGTAGACACTAGAGGAAGAGAACTCTGTGCTACTGACAGCGCAAGCCGGGTTAGGAATTTCAGACTGGAGCCGGCAGAAGTCAGGGACAGGGTCCGGCCTTGGGTTTCCCCAGTGGGTGCTGGGAGAGCAGAGGCCGACGCGCCGCAAGACTGGAGGAAGCTCCGGGACGGCTAAAACACTTGGACCGTCAGAGCGTCTCCGGAAGTGACAGGAGGAAAACGGAGGAACGGCGCGTTCCAAAGCTCCAATCACTCGCTCTTCCCGGACCGGAGAGGACACGAGGAAGTTCCCAACCCTGTGAGAAACACAGATCGTACGCAGGCCTCGCTTACCCGCCGTGTCCCTTCCCGCCGGCGCCCTCCGATGCTCTGCGCGCGCAGGCAGCGGAGGGGGCGGGCACAGCCTGTGGTGACAGGTGACCACGATTGCTGAAGGCGCAGCTTCATGGCCGATGCGGGAACCTTCTACTGCGCGTGCTCCGCTCCTGGGCCCGCCTCCTCACAGCCACGCGCCGCTGGGGCGACCTGGATAGCGGCTCGCTGGCCGTAGAGGCGGGTTCTTAAAGCCTCCCTCCTGCCTTGGGTTAGTGGTGTCCCCTAGGGCGGTTTCATGCGCATTTTCAATTCTTAAAGTGTCTCAGGCCAGATACCGATCTCGGCATTGAGAAAAAATCACGTGCACAGTACTTATCTACCACTTTTATTAGATCATTTCATGAACCTCAATTTTGATACACTCTGCCTGCTTTGAGGGAAAGACTCAAAACGTCCAGTTCTTCCTCAGTGTAAAACATCATAATGTGTCCTGGAGCATTAGCAACTCCCAATCTCTGTCTCTCTCTGTCTCTCTCTGTCTCTCTGTCTCTCTCTGTC